TACCCAAGCAGTGTCAGCCGGACTCAAATTTTACAAATTTAAAATATGAGCGCGGAAGACCAGATAACTCTGGCGCAATAAACTACGTGCCATGCATTGACTCAGCAATCTTTCAGCTTTGATAAGATTAAAGACCCCCAATAATATATATAAACTTTAATTTTCCAGATCTCGACCAGTTCAGGGAACTGGGCCAATACATCGCCGTTCTTCCAAGAAAGTTCATAAATAAACTATTTATTAAAGCGCATTAAACAAAATATGCAAGCTGTTCAATACGATAATCACCAAGTAATCCAATCCGCGGCGAGTGTTCCGCGCGGCAACAGAAACAAATCAACAAAAGCCCCAAGACCTCGGACTCGACTCGATTCGAGCCTCACTTGAGGCAATCTTTCAGCGCAAATTGGAAAAGAACACTCATCAAATATCAGCGAAACGCCTTTTATTCATAAACATTTTTATATTTATACTCTAATAAACATCGAAGACCATAAACAAATCCAGAGGCTGGTGCTGTGTGGGGTCCGATTTAATTCCTCTATAAGAAATGGAAGCAAATATTATTATTGAGTAATATGCGGTAGTGGAGGGTGTGTGCTTATCAGTCGGCTGCCTCCTCCTCATCTCGGCGTTCGGTGTAAGTTTAACTGTAATCGGGATTCCGCTTTTGTTGCATTTTCTCCTTGGTACACCTAACCTCTTATAGGCTATGTCTGATCGTTTTCGAATGCACAGACAAAGCCTAGTAGAGGCTAGATTTATAAGGCACATTCTCTTTTTTAGAATAAAACACTCTCGGCCACGCCCACTTATCATAAGCTACGTAACGACGCACAGCTGCCGCTGCTTGTTCCGTTGCTGTTACTGCTTTTCTCTGCTTTCTTTTCCCCTCGATTTCCATATGGCCTGCTGCCCCCCACGCCCACCGATCCCGCGCTATGATGATAAAGAAAAAGAGTAAGAGGAAAAAAAGTAACTAGTCAGCCCAGGCAGCTGCGCAAAAAGTTTACGGCGCCGCTTTCTTTGCATTGCTCAGCCTCGGGCTCGGTCTCTTTTTTTTTTTTTGGTTCGATTTCGTTTGCGTTTCGAGTCTTAAAACGTATTAACTTGTTTCGCGTTTGTTTCGTGTTTAGCGTACAGTTCAATGTTGGATTTTGTCTAAAAATTCCACGTCTTTCACTCACAGACTTTCACTTTTTTTTTTCTTCTTGCTGGGGTCCAAAAATTAATTGCAAGCAAGTCGCAAATTGATCAGCGAGCAAATTTTATGCGGCCCGGCGAGCGCCACCTCCCAACTGCCTGACCGACTGTTTTCGGTGACACGACTCTCTGGGGCGCAAAGCAAATGGGGAGATTAGCAGCGCCAGCGGGAGAGCAGAAGCTAGACCCACAGAGAGCGCGCCGCCGGCCCAACAGCAACAACAACAACAAGATTGCATACATATTTATGCAAGGCTGCCGCCGCCGCTACCGATTGGCAGTATGCGTGTGACTGTGACTGTGACTGCGGCTGTGTCTGTGCACATTTTAGAGTTCAAGTTCAAGAATTAGAATTTTCTCTCGCACAAGCACAAACATCAGCGCACACCAACACCAACACAGCATGTCTCAGTGCACGTATACTGGGGCCAGCCAGCCAGCTAGCTAGCTGATCTGTCGCTGCTGTCTGGTTTTGCTTTCTATTTTGTTGCCTCTCTCAGAGAGCGCAGATCCATTGACTAAAACTATCGTTAGTTTCTCTTTGCCATTGCCATCATAGCCTTGCGTTGTTGCTGTTTGCTGTTGTTGCCGGGGAGAGGCAAAAAGTAATCCATGTCAGTAGAACACTTTCGATTTTTATTTCTCTTTTTTGTTTAGCTTTTTCTGGTTGCGCGTCGCGTGGCGCCTAGTTAATTATTTTACTGATTTTATTTTCTGCGCCATTTACAGTGGGCGGAGGGGAAGCAGGCAGCTCGTTGTGCTCTGCTCTTTTCTTTATTTTTGTTTGGTGATTGTCAATTTTTGATTAGTTTAGTTGTTATATTTGGTTTGGTTTTCCCCGACTTTCACTTCGTTTTAAAGAGGGGCGTTGTCTGCGTTGTGTGCTTTTACATTTCACAAGAATTTTTCACTCAGTTTGTTTTTTTTGTCTGGCTTATACGACTTTCGATCTGCTGCTGCCGCTGCGGCTGCTCCTTCTCCAACTACGATCCGATCTGTTCCGTTCCGATCTTGACACTTGCACAGTTTTGGTTTTAATAAACCCGAGTACGAAGTGATTTTATGCTTTTATACTCTCGAGCGGCGAGGCAGGCGATGTTCGCTGGCAGAGCAGAGCAGAGCAGTCGCCGTTGGCTTCAATGGCCGCCCCATACGCAATGGCGGCGGCGGCACACCAGCTGCATCTGTGTGTGTGTGTTCCAATGTTCGTGTGTGTATGTGTGTGTGTGTGTGTTTGAGGATCGCTGTTTCATTTTTATTATTTTGTTTGACTTTTTTTATACGAGTATTCCAGAAAAAGTAAAGCGAACGAAACGAAACGACAACAGAATGAACATTTTGCATCTTTCGATCGCCGCTTATATACATATTGGCCATGGCAGTGGCAGCGGCAGCGCTGCCCACACACACACTAGCACACACAGATACAGATACACTCACGGTGTGGTACGGGACTTGAATATGAGTTACTTTGAGCATCGTTCTGCGGTTCTCTTTAGCTTCTCTGCGTCGCACAGTCTTTTTGGGGCTGAATTCGTCTGGCTCTGTTCTTTGTTTTTGGCGACACACACACTCGGAGCTCCTTCTGCAGCCTGTGCTTCCGACGCCCACTCCCCACCACAGATCCCTCCACTCCTTACTCATTGGCCAGACGTGTCTTTCTTCTCTGTTTTTGCTTGGTTAACTTTTTTGCTGTTGGGTGTTGTCTGCCTTGTTCTGTTTTCGCTGCTCTCTCTCTTTCTCCTTCATCCCCACATTCCGCTGCGGAGAGCGCAAATTAAGTCCGAGTCATTAAACCGTTCAACTAAAAAATCCTGAAAGGCATTGCGGTGAGGGGACTGTTGTTGCGGTCAGTTAAACGTTTTTGGCCAGCTCCAAAGTTATTGACCGACTTTACTGTAACGTAACCCGAGTGTACCACATGACATTTAATGCTCTGAGGAAATCGAGCACCAGTTCCAGTGTCAGGATTGTGCAGCCTGCAGGAATAAAAAGGCAAAAACATAACTGTTCACACTTGAGGGACGCTGTAATACCTGTAAAATATAAGTAAATTATGTCACAATCAATAACGATCAGTAACGTACCAGTACGTTTGAAGTTTGCTGATCAATATTTAAGCAATTGAATGATTTGGGAGGCTATTGAAGGATGTAGAAAATTGAAAGCTAATACAAAATTCTCCTTTTGGTGTAGCCTCACACTTTAATTTCTTTGCTTAACATTGTTGTATCATCCTGCTTCACTTTCCTTCCCCCCTCGCTTTCCCCACTTGATTGCAAGTTTTTTACATTTCCCAAAAAAGGAAAGAACTGATAAATTAAGCTGAACTCTCCACACACGCGCAGCCGTTAATTATACATCGCTCGCTGTGTACGTACTTATTTTTTTTTGTATGTTTATTTATTTTTTATACATTTATATTCTGTCGAATGCAATGAACTCTCCATCGCTGCCACGACGACTTTTGGGCTTGTTTATTTAAAAATAAAGTAATACAATTTGCAAAAATAAGAAAAACGACAAACACAAAATTGAATCAACAAAAGGAATTCTTTGTTTATGGCAATGCCAACCTGTGCCAATGTGTGCGTGAGTGAGATACGATCCTTGTGTGCTATCTCTGCTGCAAACATACTTTCTAAGATGTGGTTGTTGTTCTTGTTTTGGGCTCTCCAATTCGGGCGCAAATTGCAGGCGACCCCCTCAAGGCCCACAACCCGCACAGCCCAGAGACCAGTAGATAGCAATTGTTGTGTTGATTTTTGGTTGTGTAGAGTTGTGTAGAGTCGAGTTCATTGGCTTCATGTAGATTTTATTTTATCAGTTGAAATATTTTGCTAACAAATTGCAGTCAATGACATGCACACACACACATACACACACACAGAGAGTAACACACACAGAGATACTACAGCAGAGCGGATGTGGATACACTGGATGTCCCTCCCTTACCCATCGCCCCCTCTCTGATGTATGTGCGTGGGATAGCCAAAGGAGGTGGAGACGACAGGCGATTGACTGAGACGGGGGAACAGGTCACGCAAGCGTACAACAGTTTATTCATCTCTCTCTTTCTCGCTCTCTCTGTCGCTCCAGTCTCAGAACCCAAATGCGCAGCAGCCGCAGACGCTTCGGAAATCGACAATGTTCTCAAAGCAGAATCGATAAAGTGGAGATAGAAGAGAGTTGAGTTGAGTCCGCGCTGACCCATCTCCTGGCCCCACCGGCTTCCCCTGCACACACTTGTGCAAGATTTATTTTTTTCGGGTTGTTTGTCAAGAAAAAATGATGAAGAAGAAGTGCACAGCAAAGGCTGCTGCGGGAGGGAGTGGAAGACCTCAAGTGAGGCCACAAGAAGACCAGAGAAAAGCTTGTTGATCAATGGGAGAGGGGGAGGAGTAGTAGGAGTGAGCGGAGACTACAGAAGAAGCTGTTGGTAGAAGCTGGTAGAGGGGTGGCGCAGGCGAAGCGACTGCAAAAATTGTTTAATTATAAAATGCTAAAAAAGAAAAACAACAGCAAAACACATTCAGCGCAAAAGCAAAAGCAGCGAGGGAGAGAGTGAGTGAGTGAGAGACAGAGATAAAGTTTTTTGTTGAAGGACACACACGGTCTTTAAAAGTGAGTAATGCACTGGAGGTTGTTGACTCTCGATTCGATCGTTGTTCCCATCCCCCCGCTCCACCTCTAGCTGGAAGCTCTTTCTCTCTGGATCTCAGTCGCTTTTGCTGTTGTTGTTCCTCTGTTGCCAGCGTCGTCGCAGTCCTACACTTATTTTGCACTGTCCGCTGTGGCTGCACACACATGCATAAATTCATATATGATGTGCGTGTATTTGTGAAGATTCTTTTGTTATGCGTTTTTATTTTTTTGGGACTGTTGTTGTTGCCTGTATGATTTTGTTCACGAGTGTGTCTGTATCTCCTGTGTGCATGTGTGTGTGAGTGTTGTACAAAGTCAAAGTGATTAAAATTTATGCGCAATTTATTTTGCATTCAACAACAGCTAAAAACTGAGCTAAAAACACAGCAACAGCATTATGGTTTAGCGTTAATTGAACGGCCTGTCAGGTATGTGATTACAACAACAGGTTATCGATTTGTGTTAATCTGGATATGGAAAATTACTGTCTTCCTTCCTTCCTTTCCAGCATTATTCATAAGTATGCTCATTCGCATGTGTTCCGGATCAATCATCAAATACGCGACGGCAACGGCCACCACGCCACCCAGTGATTGACTTCTTGGCAACTGTACGAATGTCGCATGACAACAACGACTGCCCCTGCTGCCCGCCATGTCCGTGATGCGGATACGGGTGCGGGTGCTGCAAATTGACTCAGAAGTTAATATTTCTGTTTTATTTTTATGCGGTGTTTTTTTTTGTGAGAGGGAGTTGGGGAACTGCAACATGCGGTTAAATGTTGACACCCAGCAGACGCCACAGTCAACCGCAAAACACGCGGCAGCGGGTCCTGCAAGACAAAAAAACCACAAAAACACGTAATGAGTGGGCAAACCATTAGGGTGGATATTTCCTGGTTGGGTTTTAAAAATAAAAAATTATTTTGCAGAATTTATGAAATTGTTTTGTTGGTGTTTTTCAATATTTAGTTATTAAATATTATTATTCATTCTTCTTGGAGAATGATATGTAAGAGCATCAATAATGTCCACCCTAATCGCGTGCAGCCAGCCAATCTCCAGATGCGCGCAATATGGTGCTCTTCTCTGCTCTTCCCTGGCTATGCCATCGTCAGGGACACAGTTGCAGTCGCTGCAGTTGTTTTTGTTGCTTTTTCATGTGGCTTTCGCTGCTGCTTCTGGTGCGGTTTCTGTTGCTGCTGTTGTTGTTGCTGTTGTTAATCGTCTTGACAGCGCAGTCACATTGTGCGTGCTGCTCCAAGGCCAGTGCAATATTTTACACAAGTGACATCGTTCTCCTCTCCTTGGCACCTCTCTTTCTCTTGCGCTTCGCTACAGTGGCGGGGCTGTTTATTTAGCCATTTTTACCCTCTCTTCCCGTTCCCCTCCAACTTCTCTTCACACTCCCACTCTCACACGCATCACACCCACTGTAAGAGCAGTCGGAAGCCATATCCATTATCGATCTGGGGATTTGTGATTCATTTGTCAGAGCAGGAGATGTCATGGGGTTTGTTCCACCAATAAATCCAGCGGATTAATCAATCATTGCCAAACTTTTTAAAACATTTTTAAAGCAAACTATTGTATTCCAGTTACATTTTCTTAGCACTTCTCTCAGTTAACCTAAGAGCAAATAATTATTATATTTCCCTAACAAACAAAAATTGGGTTTGACTTTCTTAAGACTTTATCGCAGCCATGTCCAATACAAGACATTCTTGGTTTATAAAATAATAGAAACAGTGAAAAAATCAACTGAATATACAAAGTTCCTGTAAGTAGCGCCACCATTTCACTTCAAACTGGATTTCATAGATTAATCTAAATTCAAATTTCATAGGTTCTCCCACGCGTTCATCATGACCACAATGCTTGGACTGGCGTTGGTTTTTCTATTGTTTATGTTCCCCAAACTACGGAGTTGTCTTCTGCGAGAAATTCTCGATTGTCTGCGCTTCGTCAATGATGTCCGTTCTGTCTTGAAGGCTTACAATTACGTCCAAGAAGCTGCCCAAAATTAAGCTGTTAGTTAATTAAAATTTTCCCAATATATAATGCCTCAGCAAAGCAATGATGGGTTGTTCCAAATGTTGCTAAGTTTCTTTCAAAAAGCCCAGCGAGCTCTTTTAGCATCTTCCCCTTAGTCATGGTTAGGTATTGGCATAGCCACAGCTTAGTCATAGCCAACTGGCTCTGCGCTCGACCCTCTGAGTCACTAAGCAAATGACTCTGGCCAAGGTTGCGGCGATATCAGAGCACAACTCATATTAATCAGAGGCTCCTACAATATGCTCCACTTTATCGGCAGCAAGAGGCCACCAGCAACTGCGACAGTGAAAAATGAGCGAATGTCACAAGGATCATAGTTAAGATCGGAGTAGACTCTGGAGGCCCTTTAGTTTTCATCTCCATTTCGATCGAGACCGGTTGGCAATAAATTCGCTAATAACTCGACTAGAAAATACCTAGTGAGCAGATGGATAGTACTTTATTTATTATATTGAGTCGGAATTCTTTTAGTTTAAAATTTTTTGGAATATTTAACAATATATCTTCATATTTCTTATAATTTCGGCTGTGTTAATTATCTTATCATTATAAATTATAGCAGGTTGTCAGATAATGTCTTTATACTTGAGTTTTATCAATTTATAGAGCCATATCTTTCGAATTGCGAGTGTCATAGCAAAATCTTCAACATTTTGGACTCTGAAATACCGTCGTACCCATTGCACGCTAAGGAATACTTTTCAGGCTAATCCCTAGGTCCTAGGGTCCCTAGGGTGCGGCAATTAAGTCACCACCACCAACGAGGAGGATGGTGTTGCAGGCGAGGGGCCGGGAGTGAAGTGACGGGAAAGGGCTGGGGAAGGGGACCGGCTCGCGTTTCCAGTGAAGATCATTATTGTCTCGTCGCGGATGCTGGCAGAGCGACGGCGGCCCCAAAAAAAACATAAGAAACATAAAAAAAGCAGCAACAGCAGCAGCAGCAGCAACGGGGCAAACAAGTTAATGAACCTGCCCCGCCGAGACGCGTCTGGTCGCAATCCTTGAGAGGAGCCTGTCCAACTAGTTTCGGCTTTGGTCTGGCTCTGGGTCTGGGTCTGAGTTCGCGGCGCGCTGCTTTGCGCCAAGCCAAAATCTGTGGCATGAATTCTCTGGAAATTATCAAAATTTCATTTCATTGCCGAGACGAGACAAGGCGATGCGATGCGCTAGCCAACCAAAATTAAGTTCAACAGCATTCCATGGGTCTGGGTCTGAGTCTGAGCCTGTCTGGGGCCGGACCCGCTGCCGCTGCTGCCCTTTAGGCCAGGCTTAGAATAACTGAGGGCTCTGTTGTTGATGTTGTGCAGTTCCTGCTGTTCTTTCTTTCCCCCACAGGAGTATCCTTGAGGCCTGGAGTCATTGCCCTCCTACAGCGGAGTCGCATTACACAATTGCAGCTTACGGCCTGTCCTGCGCTCAAGTTACACAGAACTCCAGTGGCCTACTTCCACTTGAATGACCCGTCCCGTCCCATTCCATCGCATCCCAACCCGCTCTGGTAACGGTGGAACAATGGCCTTTGTGCCCCTTGCGCAAGCAACCCCATCCTCATGTGGCCCCGCCTGAGATCCGATACGTTCCAGAGTCCTGAATCCTGCTAAATCCTGAGTCAGCCAAAGACAAAGAAACTCACTTTGTCGCATTCAAACAGAAATTAATATAAAACAAAAAGCCCAATCCAATTCCAATCCCATCCCATCCAATGCAAACAGAGAGAGAGAGAGAGCGAGTTTGAGTGAGGGGGAAGTGAAGAGCGAGCGGAATATAATTTTATTTTTATAACTGACCTCGAACTTTTGTGCAGTGTGATTGAACTACTGGGCCCCTGCCTGATGCGATATCTGTGGGCTCTGTTCTGCCCCGCCCCGCTCTGCCCTACACTTTGCTTCCCCTTCCCGGCGTTGCACCATTTGCATGCAGACTGCATACGGAGCCATAGCTACATATAGTCAAAGCCAAGAGCCTGGGTCTGTGGATGCAATCGAATCGAATCGCTCGCGGCGTCGTTGACAAACAATATGGAAATTTTACAAAGTGCGCAGAAATAAAAGGGGGAAGCGAAAGCGAATCTTAAATACTAAAGCAGTGGCCACACAGCCGCACAGGGGTAGAGAGTGAGGGGAAAGCAATAGTTTTAGCGCGAAACGTTAAATGCATAATAAATGTGCGTTCTGGCGGTTGGTCGGTTGACGGTTGTCGGTTGTCGGTTGGGAAATAAAATGCGTGCAGCGGCTGCAGTTGGCAGTTGGGCAGCGCTGCGTTGCACTTTCAATGACCAAGCAGAGCGATAAGGGAACTAAAGACAGCGAGAGAGAGAGAGAGAGCTTAAGGGCAGAAACAGAGCCAATACTGTGGGAACAAGAATGTCAACTTGTAATTATAAAAAAAAAACTAGAAAAAGATAGAGACCAGGAATGCCAAATTAACGCGTAACCTCACCCCTCCCTTAAACACTCCCTGAGCATATCTATTAATTATTTAGCATTACTTTTTGTCCAGCAACAAACCACATTTGTTTGCCATACAACGAGGAACAGCGAGGGAGAGGTGAGGCAAAAGAAAGATAGTAAAAGAGAGAGCTCGCGCAAAGAGAGCGGCGTGAGTGGGGGAGAGAGTTCGATCCGCGTGCAGTGTACATTGTACAGTGTATCTTTATCAAAAATTGCTTTGTTGCTGTTTGCTGCTGTGCAAATATTTGCTATTCTTTTTTTATTCAGCAAAAAGGCACAAAACAAAAGAATCACCAAATAAAAGACATGAGCAACGAAGAAGAGAATATATAGAAAGCAGAGGCGTTGGAGCCCGAGCATGCTTCGGTTCGAGCCCCTTTGCTGTGGAGAGCAATGTGCGCCACTGAACGAAGAGCTCCACACACAAAAAATGTTTAGCTGACGTCATTTGTCCTTGAAATCGTATATTTGCCGCAAACTCAAAGTGAAAAAATCCGCAAAATTCAATGCACCCGCCGCTGAAGCAGAGACTGCGGCAGCGCAGCCAGCCCCCAAAAAACGTAAAAGCAGCGACCAACAACAAAACAGTAGATAAGATGACAAAACAAAGAGCAACAAAAATATATTGAGAGAGAGAGAGAGAGAAACGTGAAATGGAAACAGAAGCCACCACACACACACAATACGAAATTTGCATGGAAAGTGCAGTAATATATCAAAAATAAATGTAGTCGCAAAACCTCAAAAATAACAATAATATGACAGGTACAAATATTGAATATAAATTAACTTATTTAATTTATAATTTTATATGGAAATTCAAACTCTAACGGCCGGGACCGCCAAAACGAAACAACTGATAACGCCATAAACAACGCATAAATGAGAAAACCAGGGCAGGGGGCTAATTTTTTAAATCAAGATTTAATCAATTTACTTATATAGCTTTGTTAAATTTACTACAATTTATTGATGTAAGGCGTTCGTTAAGTTCGTTCGATTTGGCACCCTCTCTAGGTAACTCACCTTGAATCTTTCTTAGAGATGCGACTTTTATATCGATCAGGTGAACGTTTTCAGTGTTTCTGGTATATTTATGAAGAAATGGTATACTGTTCTTTTTCATTATTGTGTGGTTTACAATGGTGTATTTCATGTACATCGGGTTATTTTATCGATAGCTCTGTGGTTCATAGCTCTAGTAATTATATTATAAAGGAAAATATTGGAGATTTTCATTAGCGATTATTTCTCTTAAAATTGTTCCAAGCCATGTTTTCTTTCCAAACAATCGATATTTATAAAACTTGTAAAAAACATCGCTGCATCGATAGCATCATCGATGGTTCTCCACCTCTAAGCACTATTATTTATACATTTAAAAGCGTGCGTAAAAATTAACTGCAGCTGCAACAAGAGCAGAGCACGTGCCGACAGCAGCTGCCCAACCCCGAAACACAGCATAGCAACCACAACAACCAGGAGAACCAATCGGAACCCTCTGCGTTTCATTTATTAATGCGAATTGGATTTGTTTAGCCAGCCAAAAGTTGTCCATGTATTGGCAAAAGTAGAAACAGCAATCGGCAGCAGCGTAGCCCCAGTGCCAGGTGAGTTATAATAGAGCATTGTTCTGGGCTTTCAAGTTCTCTCTCTCTCCGTGTTTCTCCCCCGTGTTTTTTTTTGCGTAAGTTCAGGTCTGTTGCAAACTGTGTCAACTAATTATGGAGCGAAGCGCATGAGATATAAAGAGGTTCGCTGCGGGCCGATTCAGCGCTGACTTGCTCACTGCCGCCTGCCTGTCAGCTGCCTTATCAGCGTTTATCTTGTCTTTTGCCCTTTGCCCTGCGCGTTTTTCTTCGTTTTCTGTTTTTTTTTGCAAGCCTGCACATTTGTGCGAATGAGTGTCTAAAAATCGAAATCTAAACCGAACAGTTCCGTCGACAACAGGTTCCGTACGATCGCACCGTCAGGCCACCAGCCCTGCACTCGATAGTGTTTTGGTGGAGCGCGTGCCCGAGCCCGTGTATCGTGGCGTAGCTGTTGAAATCTACACGTTTGTTTGCGCAGAGCTTATACGGGTCGTATCATTACTGTGATATGCTAATCTCAATGCCCACGCGAATCTGACTGAAGTTGACGGCCCAGTCGGCCAGTTTCGTAATTCGTAATTAACAATCCACCTCTCCTCTATATATCTCTACCGCTCCCGCTGCCGCTTCAACGCTCCATTTGTGTGCCTTGGCTTGCCCGCTCTTCCACACCACACAGATACTCAGCGTCGACATAGACGTATTGTAAATCGATAAGCCAGCCGGCCCCCAAGATACACCCACGCGGGCACACAGACGGACACAGAATGGGCCAAACACTGTCCGAGCCGGTAACTGCCAAGGAGTCGTCGTACTGCCAGAACTCTGTGTTCCGTGTCGGCTCAAGCTGCATGCAAGGATGGCGCATCAACATGGAGGATTCGCACACACACATTCTCTCGCTGCCGGATGACCCTGGAGCGGCCTTCTTTGCCGTCTACGATGGCCATGGCGGTGCCACAGTTGCCCAATATGCGGGCAAGCATCTGCACAAGTTCGTGTTGAAGCGGCCCGAGTACAACGACAACGACATCGAGCGGGCTCTGCAGCAGGTGAGAGTCGCTGGGATTGATTACTCACTGCCACTCAGAGGTGACAATGCTAATAACGAGAATCGTCACGATGATGCAATTCTAGGGCTTTCTGGACATTGACTATGAAATGCTGCACAATGAGTCATGGGGCGATCAGATGGCTGGCTCTACAGCTGTGGTCGTTCTCGTGAAGGATAGCAAACTGTATTGCGCCAATGCTGGGGATTCGCGGGCGATTGCCTGCGTTAATGGCCAGCTGGAGATACTCTCCATGGACCACAAGCCCAACAACGAGGGGGAGTCGAAGCGCATCATCGAGGGCGGCGGTTGGGTCGAGTTCAACCGTGTTAATGGCAATCTGGCACTTTCCCGGGCGCTCGGTGACTTTGTCTTTAAGCGTTCAAACAAAAAGCCGGAAGATCAAATCGTCACAGGTGAGAAATGAACAATTAAATTGCTGGTCTCATTGTTCTCATAATCCATTATCACCTTGCGTTTTCGTTGTTCTTGCTGCGCCTACAGCCTACCCGGACGTGGAGACACGGAAAATCATGGAAGATTGGGAATTTATCGTACTGGCCTGCGATGGCATTTGGGATGTGATGAGCAATGCGGAAGTGCTTGAGTTCTGCCGCACACGCATCGGCATGGGCATGTACCCGGAGGAGATATGCGAGGAACTGATGAACCATTGCCTGGCCCCCGACTGCCAAATGGGCGGACTTGGTGGGGACAACATGACCGTCGTCCTGGTCTGCCTGCTGCACGATAAACCCTACAGCGATTTAATTGCCCGCTGTCGGAATAGCAATAAAACGGCCTTGGAACAAGATGCCGCCGTCACGGCAACAAAGACTGCGCAGTCCAATGAAAACATGCCCGAGACACAGACCTCGAGCCCCACTACCGCAAACACAACCACAACCAGTCCCAATTCCAGCCTGATCACGCCCACTGAGGCGACCAACAGTTCCGATGAGCAGAAGAAACCGGAGAAGGAGGCACAAGATCCGCTGCTGGCAGCATCCGAGATGCAGTTAAACTATATCTACTAGTGCGCCTTATAATTAATTAGGGTATCCTCGAAATACCGCTTAGGTCAACTCTTTATACTTACAAGTGTTCTTGGTTAAGTTTTATAGACACAAGAAACACACACACACCACATGCCACACACACGCAAACAATCCTTACCAAAATGTTTAGCTCCCACGAATAATTTTTGTTTTATTTAGTTTATCCCCGCGTGCCCCCTGCTGCCCCTTATCGATGTGTGTATGTATAATATGTATATGATATGTACGATTATATATATATACACTTGAATTACTATGTTTTGTGATGCCCAAGCAGAATGGAGAAAAAAAATTGTATTACTCGTTTAGTATTTATGTACCTAAAACTATACTTGTCAGAGTTTCTGGATTGATCTTTATAAGGAGAATGTTTTTTACCCAAAGGAGAAGGAAAAGGAAGACAATGAGTTTTTGAAATTGAAAAATAAAGCAAAATGTTTTGTAGTGCCCATAAAAAGTGTACAAAGTGTTTGATATTTTGATTCAGATTGACGGCTAAAAATGTAACCCCATTGAAATGCTTTCTCCACAGTTGCCTCTACCCCAGAGAGCACTGATTTCGATTAAAGGAATCGATTGTTTGGTTTGTGTGACCCTGGATGGCCTGCTACTCGTTGGATGCAGTATCTTGACCTGTTGTGTACATCTACACCTGCATCAAGCATCAATGTGGAACTCTGGAGAACCTATTTCCAGCGTTAAATCCCTACCATATCCACTCCTTGTGGCCAGAAAAATCCGTGTTCCCCCGTTAGCCAATAACTTGGACTGTTTTGTACAGCTTTTCTGGCTGGTTATCGCTCGCTTTATTGTTTGACATGTTTTTTGTGTTGTTTTTTTTCTTTCTGCTATCTACATTTAATCTACATTTACGCCCGCTTGTTGTTCTCTCCTTGTTCTTTTCTTTTATTATTTGATTTTCTTTTCGTTTATATGATACATACAATAAAATAAAATAATCGTGTGTATGGTGTATGGTGTGTTGTGTGTTCTGTGTGGTGTGTTCTGTGTTCTCTGGTCATGAAATGTTTTCCCTCTCTCTGTATTTGTGTTTTACTTTTTAGCTCGTAAGTATAAATTTTATTTAAACTTTTTGCTATATTTTCATTACGAGTACAGGTTTTTGTCTTCAACATCAACATCACCATTATCATCATCGTGTGTGTGATTTTTACGTACAAATTGTTCACTCTTAACCATATATCTATATATGTATATATAGGGGGAAATGAATTACGCCTTTTCGTGTTTTGGTTGTTTCTCAGTGTTTGTATTTTTTTCGATTTTTCGTTTTTTGTTGCTCTGTTTTATTATATTTGTTTGTTATTTTATTTAAATGTATGCCATATTACACACACTCAATTATGCATTAACTCTGTTGGTTGGGTTGGGTTGGGTTGGGTTGGGTTGGGTTGTGTGGCTTACGCTGCTGCATTGAGGGGGTGGGGGATATTCTATGATTTTATAGTTAGTTTATAGTTTTAATCATATGCAATTTTATAAACCATTTTGTTTTCTTTTCGCTTTACAGTTATCAATTTCGGTACAATTACAGTTGATTACACATATTCTTTTCGTAAGTATATATATATATATATATATTTCTTTTTTATATATGCATTACTCATATTACATATTTGCATTTTTTGTTTTCTTTTGTTTAACAGACAGGTTGTTGCAGATTTTGTTGTTCTTGTTCTTTGTTGTTCTTGTTGTAGCTTTTTTTCTAGTGATAACAATGTGCGTAAGCATTCATCTGTTTAGCTTTCATTTTTGCAGCTTATGGGGTAGTACACAAAAGCAGGGAATTAACCCATGGTAAATTAAGGAAACAACGCCTGATCTCTAGCCATTAAAGTAAAGTTCAAGAAAGATGATATAGTAGAAATTAGAAGAAAGAGAAACTTAGCTGCTGGCAGTGCCATAAAAAATGGTCAATGTTTAATGGCGATAAAAGCAAGAGATGAGGATGGGGGAGAGATGGGGGGGGGGGTGTGTGTTTGTGTGCTTCTGAGTATGGGGGATGCTATCTATGGGCGTGGCATGTCTGCTGAATTTCTAATAGTATTATTTTGTAAATATAACAAGTTGTTGTCATATGCGCTGCTTAATCATACAAAAATAAATAGCTTAAGAACTCAGGTTTACAATGTAACAATTTAATTTAATTTATTGTATTGCCTTAAAATTATTCAACATCAACAATGTTTCTTTACTTTCTCTATACCCTACTACTCTCTCTCTCTCTCTTGCTGTTCTCTTTCTCTGCGTGTGTGTGTGTGTGTGTTTGTGGTGTGAGTCTAGATGTGAACATGTCTGGACGTGTCTGCTGCTGGAGGAAAACCCAATTGGGCAGTCGTTTTTCCGTATATTTCATTTTGTTTTTTGTTTGTCGCACACAATTGACGATCCGTCAGTTGCATAATATCACATCTCATTGCCGGAAGAACGGGGCTGCCTCGCATCCAGCTCCAGCTCCCCCACCAACAGCAGCCGCACAGCCGCACGCTCGCTCAACCGATCAAATTTCTCGCTCTAACATTTCATTTCACCTAAAGCAGTCCGCAGTCCAAGTCGGTGTCTGCCCTACTGAGGTTCCACTGTACAGTGTTCTGTGTTCCGTGTGTTCTCTGTTTGTTATTGTGGCAGCCGACAGTGAGTGATGAGCACAACAAAATCATTTGAGAACGTTCGAAACTAATGTCTGTGGTGTGGTGTGGTGTGTGGGTGGATTGGTTTGGATGATAGTTAGGGTGAGGGGGGTTCAGTTGGGTTCGGTTTGGGTCTTTCATCAAATGGGGACAAACTATAATCTATGAATTATTTAAAGTTAAATTTGTAGTGTTCCGAGTACATGACAAACCACTGAGCAAGGTATACTATGTGTTGGGGGAGGGTTGCTGTGTGTCTCCCCATCTATCGCATCGACCCCTAAACCAGTGGCAGGAAAGCCCACCCGAGCCCCGACTGGTCGAAAGATCAGTGGGCGAACAAACGAATGAATGAATCATTGGTTTGGGTTGTTTGCTTTCATTTCATTTCATTGTGGGTTAAGTTAGGTCCTAGAGGCAGTTAAGTGATTGAGTGAGCATGATGTGACTGTGCGAGTGGGGGGAAAGGGGAGTGTTTGATCGAGGGAGGGATGACACAGCTTTGGTTCTTGGCTCAGTGGTCTGACTGTACTTGCGTGTCACACCATAATATAATAGTTAGTATAGGCACTTAGCATATTCGATTGTTTTCATAGAAACAAAGTATATGTTTACATATATTTATGTATGTGTATATATATACATATTATATTGGTTTTCAGTTGTAGTTTTCTTTCTCGCATTTTTGTTACATTTTAAATTACATTTCGGTAGAAAGTCTTCAGTTTAAGAGTTAATTCTTCTCCTACTCTTTCGTTATTTTGATTTTGGATGAGTTTTGTTTTTCGGGGAAAACATTGTTCGGTTCATTTCATTCACAGTGTGTTCATCAGCGCTAACTTAAAGATAACAAAAGGTATTTTTTAGCCGTGTGTCTCTACTAATTCTATGCCAAATAATATTGAAATCTATCGTTAGTTTTGGGTGTTTGAGTGTGTGTGTGAGTTAGTGAAAGGCGGGGCGCAGTTTTTTTCTCAAAGAAGATATGAAAGTTACAAAAAAAAAATAGAGAAAGAAAAGATTTGAATATTCCTTGCAGTTAAGTGTGAATATTCCATACGCATTTCTAAACTTAATTCTTAGGCCTAGAGTAGTTTTGTAATATATATATTTAAATATATATTTGTATTTGTATCTCTCTCTATTTATGCGCACACATTTATATATCGCGTGTACGCTCTCTTAAAACTACTGATTATTCCTCCTCCTGCTCCTAGTCTACTCCTGTTGCCAATGGATGATGGTTATGCATTAGGGAACAAATAACATGCTTCTCGAATAAATCGTAATTCATTTGTTTGTATTTTTGTGCGTAAAAAGGAAACCAAAATCGATAATGAGCATCATTATTTAGATGGGTGTTGGTTGGTAGCATTATAAATTGAGAGATAGTTTAACATAAGAAAAGATTCTGTTTTTAAATGCCTATTTGTGTTGTCCTAAACCTCGTAGAATTTCGTGTGTGAGTGTTTTATTTTCATTTCATTATAGTGTTATGGCACCTTTTTGTATATAGAGTGTATTTTGTGTGTGTTTTGGTGAGTTGAGTGTAGAATACATTTTTTGTAGGCTTTTATATACAATACAGAGTTTGTAAATATAACATTGGATAGTGTCTGCCGAGCCGAGCTGAGCTGAGCTGTGGCCGTGTCCACCTACGCTTTATAGGGATAGAGTTTAGTTGCTTTAGCAATGCACTAACTTTGATTAAGAATCATTTTCCGCTTTTCTTTTCTTTGCTTCTTGAAATAGACGTGAAACCATCAAACTGAGAAAATTGCCATTCATCGTGTGGAAACAAATGCAATTTTAAAATATATAAGTTATTCTCATAAGTATCTAAATGAAGGATATACTCAGGTGTGTAGGGATGGGTGGGTGAGTGTGGTGTTTGTGGCCAAGGGTATGTTCCGTGTGTAAAAGGATCCCTTATGTCGTGAACTAAGTACGAGAATCCACTTCACTTCAATAAATCATTTTGGGTAAAAAAAAAAATAATAAACCATTTGCTCAAACAAGACCAACTGATAAAATGTGGTTGAAAAATGGTTCAAAACAATATATCAATATATGTATATAATGTATGCATACGCGTATATATCTAATTAATAGAAGTAACCCTAACTTGTGGGACTAGCGGAGACATAGCTATGTATATAGATAACATATACGCCATATACTCGTATCTGTGTACTTCTGTTTTGGCTGTAAACATTAAGTTTGATGTGAATGGTGTGTGTCGTGTGTATTATGTTGTGTCGTATGGTGTGTCGTGTGTGAGTGTAAGCAAAATGAAAATAATGAATTACTAAACGTAGATAATAACGTAACGTAACCAACGTATGTATGATTCATGATGCATGAGTTTCATCAGTAATTTATCAGTAAAATCGTTTACAATTTGTGTAATCGTTTCTTTTGCTCTGTTTTGTCGTTCGATGCAAGTTGGCTAACTAAAATCAAAACTTAGACTTATTCACTCGGTAAACATTAATGCTAATCGTAATCGTAGCTTAGGCATATTCATCTCTTCGTCTACACTTATCCTCTCTCCAATATCCATTCATCCATTCGTTATTCTGCAAATATCATCGCTGCTCTAGTCCACGGTGTACCCCTCAAGCTTAGGTAAAGACGTAGATCAACATTAACCGATAACTGATTAAACATATACATATATATATATATGTTTAAATACATATACATGCAGGTAAATAGCTGGAGAAAGGGGTATGCACCATTCATTATTCCTCTATTCCTTTGCCTACTAATATGATAACTGGTCCAAGCTTCGCCTGCTACTCCAACATCTTCTCCTTTCTTTCTTGAGCAGCAGCGAAAGCTGTGGGCATAAGATTAGGGGTGGATTAGGAGACCATAATGCAAAAGAAAATGAATGAATGAGCAACTCACCTTTTGTATGCCTCCTTAGTTAGCTGGTAAATATCTATAGCATAGCGCACTTATAGATGTAACAAAAATTGTTTTGGTATTTACACATGGAATTTCATATATTTACAGGCAGATAGATGCATTATCTGGGGCATCCTGCAAAAAGGTCTCTCTCACAGTTGCCACGTTTTTGGCAACGACTTTCCCTTCCCCTAAGAGTTGTTGTGGGCCCTGGACTTGCGGTTGCCGCTAGTCCCCGAGCCTACATTGGCATTGGTGTTGTGCTCTGTCCCAGAGCTATAATGTTGCTGATGATGTTGTTGTTGTTGTTGCTGGTGTTGGTGTTTCTCCTTGCTCTGGTGGCGTCCACCACCGGCCATGGGTGAGGCATGGGAGCGGGCATCTGTAGGTATTGGGAAAAATCACATTAGTTCGAGATCCATCATCAGTTTCCTTTAACTTCTACTCTTACCTTTCTCCTTGACACCGACGGCATTGCTACCTTGAGCTGAATTAATGGTCTGTGAGCCGCTGGCAGCTTTGCCAGAGGGTACAGCATTAACGGCCGGGGAGGCTCCTCCTGCTATACGCTTCTCGGTGGCGACCACACTCTTCTCCACGGCGGCAGCGATTGTGGAGGGATCACCGAAGACTAGGTCCATCTTGTGGCTGCCAGTGGGCGAAAGGGTGCCCGTGGAGCCACTTCCATCCTTGCTGTCCGTGGAGGCCTTGTGATGCTGGGCCACCTGGGCATAGCTCAGCTTGCTGGCCGCGGCGGCGGCAATGTTCTCGTTCGATGTGGAGGTGGCAACGCTCTTCTTGCTAGCTGGATCCTTGGTCAGGCTTGCCTCCTTCTTGGCGTGCAGGGCGGCAACGGAGGGCGGTTTCTTGTGCTGGCTGAGGCTGCACTCGGCCAGGCTGGCGGTCAAACCGGTCGCAACTGTCGCAACACTGCAGGCGCCAGCGCCCGCGGTCACAGCAGTGATTGGCCCCGCACCCCGTGCATAATCGTTGTGGGCAGCCAGCGGTTGCGGCGGCAGCTGCTGCTGCTGCTGTTGCACAGTCTGGACGTAGGCTTCGGCCAGACGTTGTGGCGGATGCTGCTGCAGCAGCGGCTGCTTTGGATGCATTTCATCCTCAGTCTTGTTTGGTTTATCCAGCTGCTGGGCAGCACCAGGTCCGGCTCCTACCCCGACTCCGGCTGCGGCTGCCTCGTCCTTGCTGCTGGCATTGATATTTGGTGTTAGACACTTTATCACATGGGTCGAACTGTTACTGGAGCTCTGCTTAGTAACGTTTTTAGTATTGTTGCCCTCGACGGGAGCGTACTCCACAGCGGCGGGCGTGGGACTGACCGGCACATTTCGCTGATGCTGCTGGAAGTTGGGAGGCAAATGCGGCTGTTGCTGCGGCTGTGGTGGCGGTTGCTGCTGCTGCAGCTGGGTCTGATTCGGATGGTGCTTGCTTTGAACAGTCTCCTTGCGAGCCTTGCCTTTGGCTCCTCCGCCGCCGCCACCACCACCGCCAGTGCGGACCACGTCCGAGAGGCGGTTCTCGGACCAGTTGTTGGCAGCTACAGACACAGCCGGACTGTTAGCCAGATGGGTAATACCTTCACCTTGCTGATGATTGTTTGAACGCTGCTCATCGCTGGTCTCCACGCTGCCGCTTAGCTGCTGCTGCTGATGATGAAGAGTTTGTTTCTGTGTTAAGGCAGGCGCAGAGGAGGACGAGTTGATGCTGTGCCCGGACGCACTATTGGCCTGAGGAGTGTGTGGCGTGCTTACCGATGCTGACGAGGCTGGCAGTGGTGGGAAGGCGGTTGCCTCTAGATCAAACTGCGGCGGCTGCACTGGCACCACCGGCTGCTGTTGTTGCTGCTGCTGCTGTTGTTGCTGCTGATGCTGGTGTCCCTGATAGCCCAGAGTAACGTGATGCAGGCCACGCTCATTGCTCGCACTGCTGGCTCCACCCGAAACGCTGTTGTTCGCAGATCCGCCGCTCCCGGATGCAGCTCCACTGCTGACGCCCACTCCTCCGCTGTTCCCCAGATTGCTGCCGATGGAGTTGTGGTGATGATGATGGTGATAGTGGTGACTCGATCCCTGCTGCTGTCCCGCTGCCAGGTGGTGCTGCGAGGACAGCGCGTTGTGGTGATGATGATGGGAGCTGTTCGACATGGACGAGTGCTGGGCGTGATAATTAGGATTATAGTTGTTGCCCTTGTAGTTGCCCCGGTGCTGGGGAGGTGGTGGTGGTACATCGTGAATATTATAATGGCTCTCCCGATCACCGCCGCGATGGGAGGGGCCGCCGTTGCCTGACTGCACATTGCTGGCGGAAGACGAGGATGATGAAATCATCTGCTGTTGCTGTTGCTGCTGATGCGGCGCCGATGGTGAGGTGCCAAAGAGCTAAATGTAGTGAGATTTAGATACGAGAAAATCCCAACATTTTCGGACTACTTACCCCCACTCGGCCGCTTGGAGAATAATTGATTGTGCCGCCCTCCTCATCGCGACGACGACGACGTGGACGCGTGTGCCATTGCAGCGGCTCCTTGCTGATTGATGTGGCCATCGACGAGGATGCGCTGGCCGACATGTTGCTGCTGCGATTGACCTGTTGTATTGGATGCGACACATGCTCCACGTTCTCTACCGCCTCCTGCAGCTCAACTTGCTGCTGTTGCTGCTGCTGATGCTGCGGCTGCGACTGCTGTGGTTGCTGGCTCTGCTGCTGGGAGGCATGATGGGCCACCAGATGATGCTGTTGCTGGCTGGGCTGAGGAGCCAGCGTCAAGGTAGCCGTAGCCTGAGGACTGGCATAAGATACCTGAGGAGTGCTTGCGCCGCTTGAGGAAGCCAAATGATAGTGCTGCTGCTGCTGCTGTGATTGTCCCTGCAGTTGTTGCTGCTGCTGTTGCTGCTGCTGCTGAGCCTGTAGATGGTGGCCATGTGTGGGCAGACCCTGGGCCTGGGTGCTGTAATGGTGGTGGGTTGACACTGCACCGCCATAGCTCTTGTCCAAGTTCTTTTGCATACCACCTGCCATTGGAGTGAAGGGTTAAGTTTCGGCTCTACATTGAGGGATTGTGAAAAACTTACCCTTCCAATTATTACTCTTGATGGTGTTGTAGTGACGATTAGTGTTGTTCACCTGCCCCGTTGCCTGCTGCTGCTGTTGCTGCTGTTGGACTTGGACATGGGCAGAGCTTGTCGGCTGCTGCACCTGTTGCTGCTGTAGCTGCTGGTGTACCGGCTGTTGCTGGGCCTGCTGCAGCGTAGCCTGTTGCAGGGGATCCACAATATTGGCAGACACCACGCTCACCATGCCACCGGGAATGCCACCCGCTAGCTGGATGGGCACAATGCTGCCGCTTTGGATATGGGATGGAGTCTGTGTGTTGCGCGGGGGTTTGCTCCGGGGCTCGCCGCGTGGTCCCGAATTGCCACCACCTCCCATATTGTTGGGATTGCCGCGGTGACTATTGTTGTTGTAGCGGCCGCCGCCACCACCCTGCGGCTTGGATGTGACAATCGTTTGTGCGGTGGGTGGAGGTGCGGGGGCGAAGCTGGCTACAGCCTGCGGAGCCAATGCATTGGCGGTATAAATATTTCCACCAATCTCATAGAAGTTCTGGCCATGGCCGGCAGTGGTCACAGTGCCGGGTGGCCATGGACCAGCCAACAAGCCGGGATAGAATTGATTCTGTTGAATCGGCTACAGGGAGAGAGGAACATTAGTATGATGGGATTTCCAGTCTAATGAAATAATTATGTCTACTTACAATCACTACCTGATTATTGTAGGGAACGGAGGCGGGGCCAAGGACTGCCCCATTGGTGGTATACAAGTAACGCTGTGGGGCGGACGCATAGCTGACAGCGGCAGCCCCAGCACCAGATGGATCATACACTGCGGCAGTCGGTGGTGATGTGAGACGGTAGCCGTTCTTAATATTTGGTACAGCTTGTATTCTATTGATAAACGATTTGGGCTTGATGCGTGCCATAATGGGCTTGCCCTGAAACTCCTTAACCTCCTCGCGCAGATACTTGAAGGCCTTTTGCGCATCTTCGTCTGACTCGAATGTGATGTACCACGAATTGTTGGCAGCAAACTCGCAGGAGATCGGCCTTGGGCAGTTCTCGTTACTGAAAAGAGCCTGCAGCAAAAGGAAATCAAATTAGCATTTGAGTACAGAAAATAAGTAGGAGGAGGCCTAGGCGTAGCTGATTTGAGCTGAAGGCAAACCTTGACGTCATCGAGGGGAGTGTTGTTGGATATCTCGCGCAGTATGATGATGCAACGCTTGCGATTGGGACGCACGCGCAGACCCTCGTCATCCACCTGAACGTTGGGCGACTCACGCAGCACCTCAGTAATAAGTTTGATGTCCTTGCTTAGTTTCCTAACAAGATTAAATCGGGCCACAGTCCATATGGGCACATACTGGTCGCTGTCCATCTGCGACAGCAGGTATGTATCATTGGCCAGATTCTCTCTGTGGAAAATTGAAAGAGAATAAGTCAGAAAGGGAGCTTTGGAATAACAGCCAAGTGAGTGCTTACCTTGAAAAGTAATACTCAAGCTGAGTAGCCAGCATTTGCTTGAGCTTGTCCATCGGCAGATTCGGATCGTCTCCAGCTGGGACATTGGGGTTGTTACCTTGCTGTAACTGTGGCTGCTGTTTCTGCAGCTCTTGATTCTGGGTGGGCAGCGGTCCATTGGCTGGCACTGGGACCGGTAGCTGGACAGGAACAGGAACCTGAACCGGGACTACAATGTGTTGGGGTTGCGGCTCAATTGCAACTAAATTCGTATTATTAACACCAGGTACCAGAGCATCGGTTGTGTAGCAGACGACGGTGCCATCTTGGGTCTGGCCAATTGCTCCATTCATGATGGCGAATTCTGGATTATCGATGCTCTCAGCAGCAGCACCCGCAATGGCAACGGCAGCGCCTCCTCCTCCTCCTCCTACAACCACTGCGGAGTTAGCCACGCCCTGTGCCTGTGGCGGCGGAGGCGGATGTCCGTATTGCAAGTGCTGTGCGGGATGAGCCTGAATGGTCTGAGGAGACTGTTGCTGCTGCTGCTGCTGCTGGTGTTGTTGGTGGGCGTGCGTATGAGCAATAATCTGCTGCTGGTGTGGATGAGGCTGCTGCTGTTGCTGCACCTGAACCTGAACCTGCACCTGTTGTGGATGCTGATGTGAAAGCTGAGCGGGCTGTGGCGCTGCCACGGCTGCGACTGTAGCGGGGGCAGCGGCTGCTGGTGCGGCTGTGATCAATGGTATGTGGGCTGCTGCGTTTGGGGCTGCGATCTGTGTTGTGGGGCCGAACAAGTTGGTAGCTAACATTGCCGTTTCGACAGGAACATTGGCGTAGACCGGCGGCTGGATTTTGACTGCATCTCCATTCATATAGACATATCCTCCTGCAATTGGACATAAGCAAACGTATGCACGGGTTAGTTTATGTGTGTGTATGTGCTTTTAAGTGAAGTTCTATAAACAAGGTCATTTGTTGTTGTTGCAGACGTAATGAGAAACTTTCGTAATCGGACGACGCGAGTGACGTGACGCTAGAAAAAAGCTATGAAAACTCTCCCAGCCAAACCAGATTTAATATTATAAACAAATAAATTTGATGCCATCATACCATACCGACAGATGGACAAGGTGTGTGCTGCCCCTGCTGTCAGGTGCTTGTGCCTGTGGCTGCCACCGTCGCAAAAAGCAAAACTTCTGCTTTACCTTAAGGCGTTGCGAGAGCAGCAACTTATGCGAGTTCTTCTTCAACCCACTGTGCGTACCCTCTATTGCACACAAGTGCAGCACAAGCAGCAGCCGTGGGCGCATGGTGAGGGCGAGGGTTTGGGGTTGCAGGCATATGTGTTTGGTTTTGACATATGAGAATAGTATTACTACTAACCTAGGTAATATTCCATGGTAACGTATGTTGCAATTATCCGGAAATTCCTCACAAAGACACGGTCGGTTCGCTTTTAAATATATTTTTTCCTCCTCTTTCGAACGAACGGAACGCCTCAACACTCACTCGGAACACTCACGCACACACAGTCGCACGCGGCACACTCACACACAAACATATACACACGCACACAGTGGCAGCCGTGTTGCCACCCAGTCGCGGAGGCTTTTCGATTTGGAAAATTTGATTTTCACTTTGATATTCTTATTGCATGAAACTTGATTACAATGCAATGCGAACAATCAAAGGCAGGCAGGCAATCAAAGCTGCAACACACTTCTTTTCGCTGTTTCGCTATTTATTTATACTACTGCTGCTGCGGCTGCTCCTCCTCCCCTGTTCCTGTACATTTTCTTCAACTTCTACGCGACCGTTGTCGTCGTCGTCGTTTAATTTTCCGTGGCCTGGTGGTTTGAATGACTTAATTTTGTTTCTTTTCGTGTAGCTATTTTCGCTTTCCTTTCTATTCTTTTTCTTCCTCGCTGATGACTTTTTTCGTCTTCGTTTTTTCGTAGCTTTTTTTTTTTGCACACGCAGAGAATAAAATTGAAATTGGTCGAGAGGCTTTGAGGCAATTGATTTTTTTTATTTCACACCCAACTTGCAACGACACCGAGCCGACAGAGTAGCACAACAAATTTTGTATTGCTTGCAAATGTTCTAAATAATAAAGTAATTGTTCTTTTTTTTCACAACGAACTTGTCACGCGAAAAATCCAAAAATTCACTTCTCATCGTCATAGAAAACTTTCGCCGTTCCTCTGTCACCGTTTCGATAGGCTGCCAAAATCTGCACGGTTGCATGCGATAGATTTATATAGTATGTAAATCGGGATCGTAATGGGAATGATGGCATCGAGACCTAAGAACTTAATGTTGCTTAACGAAAACACTGACTATATTATTTAGTTGTATTAATATAAGCGGAACGTCCCAAAAGAATTCGCTGCGATAGCTCTCAGAACCGAAGACCTCTGGCAGCTGTCATCTTCGGCTGGCATTGAGTTTCGTGTTTTGATACATAATATATAAGGACATGTAGATAGGTATGAAATCGGTCTGTACGGGGTTTTTTGTCATGCATGCGCATCAAATTTGAAATCATTTGTATCAAGTAGGGTACGTGAGCCCAGTATGGTTGGTGGCGAAAAATAGGACTACTTCCCCCAACCCCTTAAAACAAAGAGATAAATAATAATATTCCTGTGCACTTGTACTTACACCGCTCAGCGTAGAATTGTTCCTGTTTCTGTCAGCCTCCAGTTAACTATTTCCTGCGGCTACAATGTCCAAATTGTAAAACCACTTGTTATGTGTTCTATCTAGAGGCACGGTGGCGTTTAGCGGGGTACACGTACACTACACTGAACGTACTGAAACTCCACGTTTTTCCAACTATTTATTAAAATCGACACGAAAACTTGTGCATTTGATAGTGCAGATTAAAGTGCTGTCTCGAGAGACTGTCAGCAAACGTTTTTTAACCAGAAAAAAGCAATAATACACGCAAATTATTCGCGCTCACAAAGCAGCCCACTCGGTCGTGTTCGGTTTTCGATAAAATATACTGTGGGCCCTCAAAAATATACCTTCTCATTTTAAAAATATACCCTAAATATACCGTATTTTTAAATCACCTTCCTCGGTTTTGATGTTCTGTTTGATATTACTAGCTTGCAAAGACTTTTGGCACTGAAACAATAATTTATTCCGATCGAAGAATCAATTTGGCTTATTATAAATACTCCTTTTTATTGGATTGTATACCTTATAACCCTATATTTTGCATCGGTCGAGTTGAGTGTTCGATAAATTTTATAAAGACAGACCCTCTAAAATATACCAAAATATACCTTCTCATAATATAAAATATTGACATGTGAAAATATCGATACATGTGTTTTTAGGGGATATTCTGACTGAAGAACATATATTAATATGTATATTTTATTTGCATTTATATTCAATGCACACTCTTCTGAATTAGGACAAATTCACACCTTTCCTTTGGTTTGCTTTTCTACTTATCGATGCTAGGGTTGACTGCAAAAAGCTATCGGTATCTTTGTGCGATACTCGGCGCCTAAATATAAAATTTAATTGCACTGACGTTCTTTGTGATAGTTGTGAAAATCCAAGAGGACCTAAAGCACCTGCCCCTGAAGTTTAAAACAATTTTGGATAGTGTCCCATTGTACTAAGCAACGTCAGTTGTTTATTTGAATTGAACATTTAATTTATTTATAACATCTTCTCAATTAATGGTCTATTGCTTCTGTCTTTGTGTTAATGTTCTATCAAGATTGTTTTTAGATAATTTAAACGAAGAAGAACTTCTGCAAGTTGAATGTAGCTTAAGAATGAAATATTTGTTGTTCCTTGGCATCCGCTTAAAAGCCGTGCACCTTCAGCTGGTCGGGTTTGGCTAATCCAACCTTAGTCAACCATTGACAGATGTTCTCACGTTGATCGCCCTGCAGCTGCAGAACTTCACCATACTCCGGATGCTCGATCACAGTTCCATTGCAGGCAAATTCCTATAAATTCGAAATCAGATTGATAATTTACATGGCCCACAAGGGAAAATTGGCCACCGGCCAAACGGGCACCTACCTTTTTACAGGAGCGGACTATTTTCTTCAAGTCATACTCCGCGGACAGGCCCTGGACAGTGGTAAGCGTCTTGCGACCGTTCCTCTGCTGGATTCTTATGTGCACAAGCCCGTCTTGAATGTCATCATCATTGCCCTTGATTGCATCAGCAAAGGGGTCTGCAGAAGACAAAATACACACAATATGCCCTTAGCATCTCATCACAATCTCTGTAGTTGTAATCACACCCTCTCGCAGCGTGCTGTTGTGCCCTTAAAATCGCCTGCGTGCATTTACGTATGCATGTATTGTATGCGTGTGCGTGTGAGGCCGATGACTAGACCACGAGCAGCCATTTTTATGTACATGTGTAAATGGGCGCTGCGACTGTAAAGTGTGTGTGCTGGCTGGCCTCTTGTTGGGCGTCTCTTCCACTTACCACGAGTGTTTAAATTCTGGATGGACATACGACAATAAAAATAAACCACAGCCTAAACAAAATCTCTTTGACGTGATTTCTTGACGTAAAATTTAAGATTTTACTGAATGAATTTTCGGAAATGTGTTTGTGTTAGGGATGTTATTGATATATCAATATATCGATACACATTTTTTGCGAGTATATATTTTGTGCACAGAGTTGCAAGAAAAAACTATTGACGATGTTCTTATGCGATAGCACTAGTGGTTAGTGGCGATAGCCAGAACAAAATATAGGAGCATGGAGGCAGCACGATTTTGTGAATGAACAGTGAAGGGACATACTGAACTATACACTTAAATCAATTTTAATTAAAGTAAAATGTATCTTTGTGAGTGTCAAATTTAAAGAAAAGCATTTGCCATTTATCGAATTCCACCTGTCGGGGCTGCTAACTTGACCAACTATCGTTGTCCAAGTCCATGCCCAAAATGCAACCCTGCTGTTTTATTCGCAGCCAACTTCACCCTGTCCCGCGGCTGCCATATTTCTTTCCTGCTTGTCTTTCAACGAGAAAAGGTGAGCATTTCGTATTTTGTCTTGATTTGGTTAAGTTCTAGCTTCTAAAGCCTTGTGAATGGCATGGAGCCGTGCAACATTTATTTTGTGATATGGGTGAACCACGTGTTTTATTCAAAATGGCAGAGAACTCCAAATATTTCGGAGGTAATTTTGTGTGTTACCCACACGTGTGCAGCTCGCTGATTTGTTGACTCGAAATGTGTGAAAAGAGTTGCTGGCTACATCATGGCGGCCGGGGAACTCATGCAGGGATTACTTTTATGTTTCCCACTACAATAATTATACGTTTATTAAGTGTGCTCTGTTTCTATTCAAGTCTAACATCGAATTTCTTTCTCTTTCACGCTGCGTGGGTCCGGACGACATGATGTTGATGCACACAAAAGGTGAGAGCACATGTTAAAGTTGCTAAGGAGTGTCAATTTCATGATGAATGATTTAGCAGAAGAGTTCTTGAAGACTATATTCATCACCCAATCCTGAAAATATTCATTTACTTTCTTAATTCTTTTGAAATATGGAACCGATTTTAACCTTTTATTTATCGTCTCTTTCATGATTCCGTGTTCTGGTTTGATGTCTGGTCGCATTCCCAATAAAGGTAAGCATTGTCTGCAGTTGGATGTCGTAAATACTCCTTTCGTGATGAATGATTTAACAGAAGAGTTCTTGAAGACTATATTCATCACCCAATTCTGATATCATTCATTCAATGCACCCACTTTTTAGCCATGGCATAGATTTAATAATATATTTTTATTCTCTTTCATAATCTTCCTTCTGGATACTTGATATCTTGCTGCATTCCCCATAAAGGTAAGCATTGTGATTATCTTAAGTGCACGAGTACAACTACCATGATGAATGATTTAGCAGAAGAGTTCTTGAAGACTATATTCATCACCCAATCCTGAATACTCCAATCCACCCAAAACCTGTGGAAACTTTTGTAAACTGCTCTAACCGAATTCAATTGTATTCTACTTGCAGACTTGAGATGGCAACCTCTTCGCACCTCAATTGGTTGATCATTCGCAACAACAACGCCTTCTTGCTGAAGAAGCGCGATGTGAACAAACCCTTCAGCACAGTAAGTGGCATCCGTCCTCCTTAAATTATATTCAAACTATTCTATGATGTTTCCAACCTACAAACTTTCACAATGATATTTGAATACAACTTGATAGTAACCTTAATCTGACAAAGTTGACTTCAGCATTGAATGCGTCTGTGTGTGGGACATTTATTAATTGTTTATTGCACTTTTGCAGGAGCCAAACAACTTGGCCAGTGTCAGCTCGTACCGCTACAGCGGCATCGTGCACAAGAAGACCCTTGGCGTCGTTCCTGCTGCCGATAAGAAGGGCTTCACCGCCGTGCTGAAGAAGGGCAAATATGCTCAGCGTCCCGCTAAGAACACAGTGCGTGTTGACTTCAAGGCCGGTCCCCGTCGCTCCCTGAAAAAGCTGAAGAACCTGTTGATCGGCGCCAAGTACCGCAAGGATCTGACACAGGTAATTAATGAAGTTTTTTGCTGCCACCCCACTGAGCTGTCCCTGATATGATGATCCTTTTTTTAATGCTACATACCAAGATCGCAGAATGATCGTGTTGAAAAAAATGTCTGAAGCTCTATTAGCACTACATTTGTGGATAATTGTTATTGTTCGATTTTAAATTCGGTTTTGTATAATTTCCAATTGTAGGCTGCTCTTCGCCGCGCCTCCGCTGTTCTGCGTTCCCAGAAGCCTCTGCCCACCAAGGGCAAGAAGGCCGAACTTTCAAAGGGAAAGAAGCCCGAATAAAATGTACCAGATAGGATCATGCGGAGCTGTTTTCTACTCGAGAATAAAGAAAAGATGTTAAAAACCTAATTGTAATTTGCTGATTGTGCCTTGGGATATTATAGTATTGTGGTGAGGTGTAGGGAAGTTGTGGAAGGTGGTTTGATCTTTACATGTGTCGTCGTGTGTGATCAGGCTTTATGGTATGCAATTATAGAGACCATTTTATTGCATTGAAAGAAGTACAGAATGTTACAGATCAGATTGAGGCAGAGTCGTCAATAAATTAAGAGTAAAACAAAGACAATACAAATATGGGATACATGACGATATACAATGCTTTTAAATGCTTATTGAGCCGTTATACTTAATGGTAAATGCATGCCACGCACTTTAATAGAAATATTCATATTTCTGTGCATGATGCAACATGATCTCCATGGACTTTTTGCCCTGCATTACGCCATTGCGCTCCATATAGTTCCAAATGGAAGCCATGAACACACAGAACAGGATGACTCCGAAGACTATAAACTTGAGCAGCAAGAAAATTGTACGCATTCCCACCGGCGCCGTGAACTCGACCAGCAGAACGAGTAGGACAAAGAGGAAGGTGGCCGCACTGTAGTAGAGTATCCGATCGGTGTTCAATTGCAGCAGGGAAGCATCGCAAAGGGCCAGCGCTTCCTGGAGAGCAGCGGTTCTGGCCGCAGGCAGAGGCTGGATGGAAGAGCAGCTTCTATCTAGAGTCCTAATGGAACTGCCATTGCATTTGGCAGCAGTTGCATCAGCCGTTGGGGGAATAGTAGCTGCTGGCCCATCCCCTCCTCCCTGCTCACGCGATGGACAAGTTTCTTCCACCACTTCGCAGTTTACTTCAATTGTCGCCACTTCTGCTCCGTCACCTGCTGCCCCAGGATCTGTGCTTTGAGTGGTTCGTGATAGTTTCAGCTTAGCCAATACAGCTTCGTGATCCGAGAAGCTAAACTTTTGTCCAGGAACACGGTCTGGAAACGGTAGAGTGTACTCGACAATCTCCGCGTTTATATTGTCTCCTCCGCGGACAAATATGTGGTCTATGCGTATGCCCCGTGGATTTCTGTTCAGTGCCCTCGCCGAGGTGTACGAATTGTGGTCGCACTCATTCGTGCGAAAGGTGTCCGAGGCGCAGCTGTCCAACATTTTGGAGGTGTACAACAGCACCTTATACGATATGTCTTGTGGTTGGGCATTCAAATCTCCGGCCAGGATCTGAAGCACCGAATTACCCCGGGTGGCCTCGATAAACTGAGCGGTGTCAAAGGCTTGGATAACCCGGTGAGTCTTGTATTCATCATTGTCATTGTCATACTCGGCATGCAGATGCGCATTATAGAGGTGCACCATCTGGTCGCCAATTAAGATGCGACACAGCCCGACACCCTTGCCGCCGAACCAATCCGCGTGCTGAATGCGATGGAAGTAGCCATTCACCGACCAGGCATGGAACAGAGTCCCCAGGATTGGATATTTGGAAAGCACCAGGAGCCCGGCGCCCATTACGCCACTGTGGAAGTAGTGGGCATAGGGCAGAACACTGGACGTCTTCTCTTGCAATTGCTCGCTGTCATGCTGAGCCCACACCTCCTGAAGTGACACGATGTCATATTTGCCGCTGCTCAGTTCTTTGCAAATGGCCTCAAGACGCGGCCCGCGATCACTTGACACATATGGAATGCCCCTACAATATCGAATTTGAGATCAGATTAGATTTGGGGCCAGTGCGTAACCTTGTCGCGTCCATAAGGAGTAGTGCTCACCAAATGTTCAGGGTTAAAATGTTCAGCTCCAACAGCATCATCTTTATATGGCTATTGTTCTTTATATGACGGTTGGTGGCATTCTTATAAAAATAAAAAAACAAATCAAAGGTGCAATACACTATCAGTGCGACCGCGGATTGGATCTACAGCCTGACTCTCGGAAATATACCGAAATATACCTTTTCATTTTTAAAACATACCGTATATCCTACATCATTTTACTTGATTTTGATATTCTGCAAATATTACCAGCTAGTACGGATTCTCAGCGCTAAGAATATAATTTTACACGACTAATGAATCAATTCTGCACAAGACTGGCTAGATTTCATGTCTTTGTTTTATTAGATTGTCTCCAATTTAAGGATCAACATCAAAATCTATGAATATGATTTAGATTGTTATATTTACGGTATAAGGCATATTTCGGTATGCTTCTAAGGATCATACGGTATATTTTATCGATAAGACTACGGTCACATTGAAAGAACGCAATATATCACAAAATTTTCAAATCATAAAAACTTAAGCAAAAGGGATAAATAGTCATAAAAAATTAAGCAAAACGCTAAACAGGTATAGCGGATACAGCACAATGCCAATTGCAGCTCGAGTACAAGGCCGCATGTGCCAAACAGACAGCCTTCCACATGCCTGGCGGCGGAACAGGTAGTGGATAGTTTGCAAATCATGTTGTAAATTTAATCATAGCTTTGTACTTTTAGAACTCTTATCTTGTGCTGCAAGCCAAGGTCTACTCCGCCGTGGGAAAGTTTAATTGGGACGTGGATGTGGGAAAGGCGCACTTTGTCAACGTCTGCACAACAATCCGACCGTGTCCAGTGAGAAGGCACCCCGGTAATGTTTGGAAATCCGATGATAGTTTAGATGATAGTTCAAACAGACACCTTGAACATCGGCAAAGGTCTCTGAGCAAGTTTTGAGCATAGGTTCAAGATCCTCAACGATTTCGCCGACGAACGGGTCTGCAAACATAACTTGATAGTGCAGCGTGGCTACGATTGCTTTGACTTCATCAATCAACGGAACCATTTTATACCGATACGACGCTGCTTACTGATAGACGGCTCGTACAAGAAGCACTCTGTAGCCTGCTACTCTCCTTTTACATAGTCCTGTTTTCTGTATGTCAGGAAATTGAAATCATCTTTGACATCAGGAGGAGAGAGAATCTTTCGCGTTTCTTGCAGCTCTCCGATGCACAGATGGCCGATGTACTGAGAGATACAACTATATGGTGGTCCAGCTTCCCGCATAACATCGGGGAAGGCTGACGGGTCCGAGCAAACAGGACAATACTCAGTACTGCTGGAGGGACTCTTACTTAGTGGCCGACACCCAATCTCAGGGTGCAGGCTAAGATTAACATAACATGCACATGTAGGCATAAATACTAATTTTGAAAAAAAAAAATGTAATGACCAGCTTTTTATAAACCAAAATGTGTAGCATACTTTTAGGATGATCGACATTATTCAGGCGAAATGTATGAAGTACTTTTGGGGACTGCTTTGATACCAAAAAGTATAGTATACTTTCTGGGTGAACGGATTTCAATTACAAAAATGCCCACAACAGCCATATCCTGCAGTCCTTGAGGTCCTTGATGGATTCAATGGATACAGGAGTCGTCTCCGCTCACAAGGATTCGTGTCATGTCCTGATCCGACAGGAAACAGCCGAGTTATAGGGGTGTGAGGAATCTTTACAAAAAAAAGGGTAAAATGGCATTATCCTTAATGTCCTTGCATCCAAAGTGATTGCAAACGATCCAGGACATTGTCCCGATCACGAGGGGGTGTGGCATGTCCTGATTGGCCCATTAATAAAGGAGAAAACAACAAAAGAATACAGCACTGTTGTTGTCAATTTATGTTGTTGTTGTTGTACAAAAAAAGTTATTTTTGTTATTTTTGTACAAGTGTTTGTTGTACAACAAGAAATTGTCTGTTGTACAACAAACAACTGTTGAAATTGCTTCGCTCAAGTGGCAATTTTCGGACCGAGTACTAGGCGAACATAAATCAGCAGAAGGTAGCTGGACTTATAGTTTTTTCATTCTATCAAAAGCTGGCTACCATGAAACTGGGCGGTTTTTTTAAAATCCCAAGTCACTTAAGCCACGGCTGGAACTAGTTGACCATAGTTCGAGACTTTTCCGCTCAGAGTTGGAGCGCCACTGTGCTAGTTGTTTGTGCACAGTGGCGCTTCATCGATCAACGGCCACTGTTGGAACTAAAATAGTATTGTTCGAGCTGAGCTACTTTCTTAGTGCTGTACAACGCCAAAAGCATTGTGTCAAAAGCTGGTATCTACGTTCTTTTTCAAATTTCAGCGATTTGAAAAAAAACGGCTTGTTGGGATGTAAAAAAGACTTTCTTGTGTTTGTATTATGTATTTTATTATTCGTATTATTTGTCATGTGTTATAAGCATTTGCAGTTACAGTTGATTAGCCGAACGAGCGGTAAACCTTCTCAAATATGGCAGATTACAATACTCTCGTGTATCCTCTCGCTTTCCTTCAATATCTCTCTTATAACATACAAACTAGCAAGCAACTTGCAGCAGGTACGTTGAGGGGCCTTGTTAATAACCGTTTAGAACTAGTACATAGTCTTAAAATTAGTTAAGATATAAGTTGTTTTTATGTTTCTATTAAAATGTATGTGCCCGCACGAGGAAGCTTTTAAGGCAGATTCGGTTTCGGTTATTTCCGAATATCTCATGGCGCATGCAACTGCCAGAAAGCACAAAGAAGTTCTGATTCCATATTTGACATTAGTTCGCTCCATTCTTCCTTCCCCTCCCTCAGTAGCGCTGGCTCTCACGATCGGAGTACTTGCCGCTTAGCTTGCTAACCGAATAGCGATCCGAATAGGCATCGTACTTGTCCGCCTTGTAGTTGATCTCCTGTGGCGTATAGCCGATGTTCTTCTGCCAGTGACGGGTCCAGTAGAGATCCTCGTTACGCACCTGCGACGGAGTTCTGGCATCGCGGCACACATACACGCAGTAGATCATGCAGCCTATCAGCGTGAGGAAGCCGAATATCAGGAACACAATGCCCAGTATCCACACATAAAGCGGCTCGTAGAACTGCACCACGATGACAAAGCCCAGAGTGACCAGGATCAGGCCCAAGTTCAGCAGCAGCATCAGACAGCAGACGCCCTTCACATTCGGACAGAATGGATTCGGAGCGGACATGGTCTCGATCTTAGCGCCCCTCTTGGTGGTAGACCGAGCGCTCCGTCCCGTCTTGGCAGTGCTGGCCACCGAATAGACACTACGCGGGGGTCCACGCGAAACTGGACGCTGGCTATATCGACTGCAAAAGATATACAAATGTTAGAAACGTTACAAGAAAGTTGAAGGGGCATTCAAGAGCTTGCCTGATCTCCGAGGGCGCCTTATAGGCAGCACTGGTCACATAGATATCGCTGCCTCCGTCCCCGCCATGATCATAGCTAAGGGCGGATGGTGCACGTGGCGGCTGGCGCGTGGGCGGTGGTCCGCTGAGTGGGCGTGGTCCCCCATTGTCCGGGGAACTGGAGAGGCCCATCTGACTGTGGCTGTAGCTGTGCAGGTGCTGATGCTGGTGATGTCCGTTCGCGGAGCGCTTCTTCCGCGACGAGTTGTACTGGGACTGTGGCGAGATGCGCTCGTGGGTGAGGGTATACTCGGAATAGGTGCGCTCGGAGGGGGCGCGATGGGAGTGCGACTCCTCGCCGTCTGTGGAGTAGCCGCGATTCGAGTGAACGTATGGTGGGTCAGGTGTGAGGCGCCCATGAGTGGCCACATAATGGCTGCCCTTCAGTCTGTAATTGGTTTGAAAATGTTATCTCAAATTGGTGGCTAAGTGGTGGAGGACTCGACTCTACTCACTTCTTCACTTGTCTCTCGTGCATTTTGCTCTGTTGGTTCCACTGACTTCCTTAATTTTGGATGCTGGGGCGCTCGTCTCTCCTGTGGCGCTGCGGTTTATCGACTGCTAATGGTCTCGACTAGCAATTTCCGGAGATGCCTGTAAAGAAGCAAACAGAATATGCACGTAGCAATTAGCTTTTGTCAGGCTACTCAACAAAATGTTTTCAACTTTTAATTAGAAAAAGCTAAATTGTTCGTATATTCTCACACCTGGGGAAAGTTTTAGCGTTTTTGCTAGTGTTTTTGCATCAAAGTTCCTTCATTTAATATTAACTATTTTTCATCAGCACGGAACGTGTTGTCGTCGGTTATCCCGACACAGACAAAGGAAAGTAAACAAATAAGAAGCATTCCATTTCGATAAGCCAGCAGTCCCGTTCCACCACTTTAACCCTCCCTCAGGAATGTGGTCCGACCTCTGCCTTGCATAACTTATATCAATTTATGATGGTTACTGTTGCGGCGGACGCACGGCGCACCCATGCTAACGATTGGAGCTGCAGTTCGTTGCACTTTGCTCGGTCCTGTTAAGCTACCAAAAGCCACTCAAAATGTGGCAGAAATATGTATCTACGTTCTTTCAAGTTCAGGGCATGGAAATTCAAGTTGCCCCTCCTCAGTGTCGCCTCGTTACTCGTCATTCGTCTGCAATTTGTCACTTGGTCACGTAGCTCTCGGTTTTGGGTGCGACACTCTGGTGCAAGGTGACAGGTGATATGCGGGGACGCGAGTGCAGCGTCCGTCAGAAGGAGGAGCATGGGTCGAGGGCGGAAAACTGGTTCTTTTGCTCCCTTGAATTCTTGATTGCTTGCACACTCACAGAAGTACGAATATGTATCTTAATACAATCATACATCAATCAACGTGTAATTATAATACTGAAAACAGAAACAAAATAGTTCCTATCTTGTCGAACTTCCACGAATTTCTTGGCGGAATCTTCTTCTCTGGCATGTCATTAACGCCCTTACTCTGGCTCATGATAAAATTGAGTTATTGCCTCGATTAGGGTGCCAATTAAAGGGTGTCGTTATCTATCGCATCGTTGTGGGCCTGGCACTGGCCCCACGACTTGCCTTCTTATGATGTACTTCAACTGGGGCCAATTTCTGACTGCATTTACATTTGGCTGGCCTGCCTGGCGGTCAATCGCGATACAATTGTCAGTTGGGATCTGGATCTGCGGATCTGAGGAGGTCTGCCAGTAAAACTTTCAAGTTCAATGCGGTGATTTTAGTGCCTGGGGAGTACACAGAAATACACACACAAAGACACACATTTATGGTGTGGGCGGTAACGTCGTCAAATGAAAAATCGAATCGAGATGGAGGCCAAGAATGAGAGACAGGCGACCCTTTCTTGCCTCTGTCTGTCTGTTTGTGTGGTCCCAGTGGTTGCCTTCGCCTTCGCCTTCGCCACCATCGCCATCCCCATTCCACCTTCGTTTGGGGTTTCTATCACTTGGCGGTCATCAAAACCCTTTCCGTTTGCAACTCCCATGCGTCGGATTTTTACATGCCTCGCTCTGCTCTGCTCTGCTCCACTCCACTCCACTCCACTGTCCACTCTACTCCACGCCGCTATAGTCGGACAGCAGCTCCGTTCCATGCCACACCGCTCCGCTCCGCACATTGATTTGTTTATGCGGTTTTTGGGGTTTGTTTTGTTAGGCTTGCCTTAAAGCCTTTTCCTTTTGAGGCAAATGGAATGCGAATGCCATTAAAATGTGTTTGCTCTCGTATTTACCTTGGCGCAGCAGCCACCACAGCAGCAGCAGCAGAGGCAAGACCTTAACATTATAACGCCACATAAACAGCATTCTGAGGCAAGAAATAACCATTTAGAACCAAAACGAAAGCTAAAGTGGATCATTTTAGGGCTACTTCATGTACACAAATTCCGTCGTATAAATCTGGAATATAGTCTCTTGAATATGGGCCGGCCGGGGGCCTCGTAAAGCAGAAGATTTTGCTCGTCCAGGTTACATGGAATTTGCATTTTGTCACTGGACCGTTAAAAAGTGTGGCGCCCACAGCCCGCTCGAACCCCGTCATTGTCTTTGGTGGAGGATTTCACAACTTTCGCTGCTTCCGCTGGTGCAGCGCCAACAATGGGCCAAGAGCGGAAGTCGCTGCCAACGAAACGAGAAGTTAATTTGTGGCAATTTGTGTTACACAAAGTGAGAAAACGAGACACTGCGATCAGCCGCAAAAATGCACTCCATCATTGTGGTCAAGTGTCATAAAAAGTTGGACGACTTGAACTTGCCATTGAGTCCGTCGTTGTTGTGGTCTTGGTCAAGCGGCTCGGCATGGCATGGAAATTTCATTGCCAGGCAGCGGGCACCCAGACAGCGGACACCACCATGATATTTTTCGGGGCGCGGTTTAGAAAGTTTTCCCCCAGATGCACATCTACTAAAATATACGAGTACGAGTATGCATGCGTCCCCTGCAATCTGGGGCAAGAACTGCAGGCCACCAACCAGCCTGTACCTGGGACACAATCTGTAGCACTCAACTGCAAAAGGCAGCAGCAGCGCCTTTCACAAGTGCACCAACTGAACTGATGGGTGAGGAGCTGGCTCTCAACGGATTGGACCGAAATTGCAAGTTGTATGTAGGCTCTCAATCCGTGGTATTCCAATAAATATCGCCACAGTGCAGCGCCCCCAGTGGCCCCCAGAAGTCGCTAGAATAAATAATAACAGACTTTATATTGTCATTTGCATTCTCTTCGCTCGGAGTCTCGAGAATGCATTGTACAATTACCATTCAAAATAGTTTCTTTTGTGTTTCCCTTAATATTCAAAAACCAGCCATTGTTTGGCTATTGAAAACCTTCCACCAGGAATTTCGTTTGCCAGGCTATTGATCGTTTCGCGTTTGATTGCTTTTAGGGCTGCCAAGGAAGGCACGATTTCCATTATGATTTTCATTTGTAATTAGTGACTGTTATGGCCAAAGGAATTTTATATTTATTTTAAACTGTTATGGGCCTAGGCAAATCTAAGGCGTGCAGAATTCCGTGGCGCTGCATTAATTGCTATCGGCTGTTTTCTCATCTCTGGCTTGATTTAATGACTCCTGCTGCATGTTTTCGAAAATCAGCATAAAATTTGATTGCATTGTTAAAACCCAAAGTGCTTTATGTCGATTTTACCCCGACTGCTGCTATCAAGCGGCGACCATTCAACTGGGAGCCACTGGTAGTCGTCTCAGTAACCGCTAACTCTGCACTGCGACGAAGCTGCGTGGTCTGGGCTGAGTCCCCCGATCTTAGACGTTAAGTAGCCATAGCTGCCGCGCGTTAATCGCTTTTAATTGCTAAATTACGCGCTGCATGGGCAACATTGTCCAGAGTGGACAGAAGCAGTGTCGGGTCGGGTCTGCGAGGCCTGGAGACGGAGAGTCATGGACTGGATGCGGCTGTTAACACGCCAGACCGCAGACTGTGGATCTGCGACTGGGCAACACTAATGCGTGTAATTAGCCGCAAAAAAAGCGGCAAGACCACTTAACTGATTTATTAAAACGTTTTTCCATTAAATTTTTAACCCTGCAGGCTATTAAAAACACTAACTCTTCCACACACACACACACAAAGAGAGAGAGAAACACACCGCAGACGTAAAGAGGCCGCAGAGCGAGAGAAGTGGAGTGGAGTCCAAGTCCATGTCTGGGTATGAAGCCACCGAGTGGAGGCATTCCGAAAAGGGCGCGTAGACTTGAAAAATGAGCAGCGTTTAAAATTATTCTGCAACTGTGGGGCAAATTCAGAACAATACAGCACCATAAATCTATGGGCATATGCGGTTCAAATATGTACCCACTCATCGTAGTTAAAGGAGTCATAAAAGAGAAAGGATTACCTAAAATAAAGGCCTGGCTGGCCACTGTGCCGCCGCCTTACTTGAGGAGGCACTTTCAAGCTCTCAAGCTGCCTTGCCTCATTTTAATCTATGGCTTTCCAGTGCCAGCACCACCAGAGCCCCACCAACACCATCAAGAAGTTGGCCAAAAAATTCAAATGGGCGGTCAGTTGGCAAAACATTTTGACAACGTCAATGGCCATGCATAAACCCATCCGAAAAAACTAAGACCCAAAACTTTCTAGCCATAAATGCTCGCTCACGTCGTAGTCGGCGAAGGAGATGGCAGCAGCGGCAGTGGCAGCGGCAGCAACGGGCAAGGGAATGAAATTAATTATGGCCAAGTGCGGTGCTCACATTGCTCGATGAAAGTGCGATAAAGATGCCATATTTCTTTTATTAAATTTTCAGCCATTTATTGCTACACTGTTTGATGTTGGACCCGCAGAAGTAAGCCGTTAAAATCAATGGCCCAGTCGAAAGAATCGGAAAGACAGGACAGACAAAGAAGGTTACATTTTGTGTGTTGGGCCAGACAATATATTAAATCTCACCACTCGTTCGGAGAAAGTTGACTTAACGGCCTTAGCTAGGGCCCCGTACGTAATGCTTTCAATTTTTTGTTATTCCCTTTATTTTTTCGTTTTTGCAAACTCACTTTAAACAACAACAACAGCAGCGACAACAAATTGTGCACAACACAAGCGATTTGATGTTTTTTTGGTTGACCGTGTCCCCTGGAACCCCTCGGGTTCCGTACAATTGTTTCAACTTGCAAATGAAGTCAGCTCCGCCAACTGCTGTTATCCGAGGTACATGAGTGAGGTGTGTGCTGGAAAGGTCCCTTTTTCGACTGCGTCACGTTTGCAACATCAATTTCAATCAACCTGACCCTGCCCTGTCTAAGACCTCGCCATACCCAACCCTCATTTAGCACTGTTGCAGCTGTTTTTTTCTGAGACTGGGGCTGGGAATGCCAAGTGTAGGCCGGATTTCACATCAAACGCAACAGTTGTCTCTCTGCGTAATCTCTATGACTGCGCTGTCTTTCCTTGGATCCAGAAGCTTTGGAGTTGAGCCAAACCACTTAGAGCTGCGGCAAGAGCAAAGCAGAGCACACCAGACCCAAGCAGAGCAAAGTCTTTGAAGAATTACCGAAAAGCAAAGTTCTTTTGGTGTTCTAGAATTTGCACAAAAGCTGTTCTATTGAAATAGAATTTGTGTTGAAGTTGATTGCCATTTGAGTGTCTAGCTTTATGGACATGCGAAGGCTATTCATCAGCTGCAGAATTCTTCGCACATCATTAACACACTTTTCCAAGGCGGATATGTGGGCGCCCGCTCGCTGTTTGCCCCTTATGGGTTAATTGTGTGGAGATGTCGCCTGCCTCCATTGGGTCTGTCGCCCTTCCGGTGCCATACATTAAATGGGTTTCACTCCGTGGCGACAGCCGAGAAGTCTTTACAGATGGGGTGCTATACATTAAAGCAGACACAATGCTCGTATAATAATGGATCTGTTTAGACAGACACTAGCTGCTGCTTGTGGCGCATTAAGTTGCTCTCTGAGCAGAACCGATACAGATCGTCAGGTGTTTCCACTTATTCAGTAACTTCAATTGTAACTGTAAGTACTCGAACTCGTGGCACAGCCAAGGCAAGGCACTACCAGTGCCAGTGCCACTGCCACTGGGCTGTGCTTAGTGTTCTTAGTGCCGCGTTCTCGAGTCCGTGTGGATTCGTATCTGTGGCGCACGGTCTAAATGGCACCCGAAACAATGCGCATAATAAATATTCTAAGAGCCAGTGGAGTGGGTTAGAGTGGGTTGGAGCTGGAGCTGAAGCTCTGGGGTTAAACCTGTTCGCAGTCAGCGGAGGTAGCGGCAGCGGCATATTTATGGGGCAGACAGACTGTTGTGGCTGTGACTATGGCTGCCACGGGAAGGGATACTTTGCAACATAAATACCGTTACAACTTTTGTTTTTTCCGCGTCTCAGTCTCTGTTTCGGTTTCTGGGTCTTTTTTCTTTCTTTTATTTTTCGGCCATGGGACTGAGCCGCACTAGCGGTTCCTTGCCTTCGGTTTATGTTTATTTCGGTTTCATTAATAGTTCAAATAACTGCTCAAGTGGCTTGTGGAGCCATCAAATGCAGGCAGCCGGAGACCGACTATCTCTATACGACCCATAAAGTTAAAGTCTACGGTTGTAATCTATTGATCTTAGAGATCAAATAACAAACAGACAGAGAGAAAAACACACACGACAAACCACACGAGAGTACTATTATTTCTTTGCATTCATTTCGATTGCACAACTGGCCAACAAAACGTGTTGACAATATCCGTAAGTACACTTGCCCACTTAACAAACAAAAATTGCAAAAAAAAAAATGAAAAATGAAAACTTTAAATATCAAATAATGAGCCAATTCCCGTTCGCCAGCAATCGACACATGGTTCGGTTGTATGCAGACCAGATCATGGCTCTCCACTTCCACCATTTACATCCCGTGGTCCAGTCGACTCTTTGGGCCAGCTTCCATCTGGCGGTTGGCGGCGCTGCGTTTCGTTTCCCACGCTTGGCGGCTGGCTGCAGCTGCTCCGTCGATCGAATCCAATCTGATCCGATCCGACGACGATGCCGAGAATGCCCACTGCCCCAGCAGCGGTGTCTGCCTGATACCAGTATTCTAATGCGCCCGGGACACGGTTAGAGATTAATTAATATTGCATCTCGTTAAGCGGCAGAAAGGTTTCTTTTTGTTTTATTTTAGCAATTCATTTCAAAGCAGGAAATTCCAATAGAATTTTTAGCCAGAGTGCAGCTCGGATTGGATTCAATTCATGTGAATTTTGGATGACTCGCCACTCGCCTGAAGAAGATCTCTCTCTCTCTCGCTAACCATAAAAAGCATAGAAACTATTTATGTTGAACCTAACGAATGTCCGCTAAATATCAAACACAATCTTGAGAGTTTTTTGGCTATTGTATTTTTTTTTGTGTGTTGGTTTTCTGCCTTCAAGGTCTTGTGGCGGCAGACAGCGATTTATGAGAGGGGTGTTGCCTTTTATAATTTGCCAAAGTTATTATTGTTGTTATAGCCCCCTGATGATTGTATAATATTTGCCTTTTGCTCGCTATACATGTATAATTTCATAGTTAGTTGCTGGCAACGTGGAAGATCTTTGTGGGCGTAGACCCCAGCGCTGGCTCCGGCCGGGGAAAAATACTTTAATGTCAAGTGTGGCTCACAGAATTTCAGTGGCTGTGTGGCATTGTTACGGCTTAAGGCACTCGAGAAGCCAAAAACTGTGTGTTTTCAACAAGTTTTATTTTTTCCCCTGATTGCTTTTCTGTTTTCTTTTTTCGGTCACATTCCATTCAATTAGATGCTGAAACAGGGAACGTTGCCATAACTCTGCCAAAAGCCGACCTGGTTAAGGGTCTGTCCCCTTCCTGTTCTGCTCTTGGGGGGCTCCATTGAATTATGATTTGAGCAGTCGAGAGCCCATTGTTTGCTTATTCCTAATTGTTTCCTCTGTTGAGCAGCAGAAATCGAAATGTGTTTTGCTTATTTATAAGATTTCGTTACGGTCTTTGTTTTTCCTTATGCTGCGACGTCTAGGTACATCCATTCACGATTGTAACTCAAGTCTAGCACAAATACTTGTATTCGATGGGGAAATTCACTTTCATGAAGTGCCACAATCCTTCTGGGTAACAACTCAGAAACTCAACTGCATGCTACTCGAGCATATAATTGCTTAATTGATTAAATTTCCCTTGGATAATGTTCTGCTGTATCAAATCTTATGTCCTAAACGAATTTCGACTCTTTTTTACTTGCACATTCAGGCAGTAAATTGCAAAAACCAGTTTGCGAGTATATCACTGATTCAATAAGCATTCAACTTAGCATCGATCTGCGCGTCGATCTAATGATTTATATAGCCCCCGCTGCTTGGCATGGAATGTCAGAGTTTTGTTGTATAATTTGCACGCAATGAGTGTGCAGTGCAACCGACACGAGGCATTAATTACATACATATGTGGTATGATGATGTCATCATCACCATCGTTGAAGATTTCAATTTGAGGCAGACGCTGGCACTGGCAGCAAATGCTGAAAATGCAGAGATAGAGCCAGACAGCACCCTCTCAAATGTCAAATGAAAGTTGCAGCAAATCTAACATCAAACATATGCTGGTGATAATCAAAGATACATAAGAGCATGTACAGTATGTATTCTCAGTTGATTTTTGCTAGCTGGTTGTCAGATTCACACGCAAACAAAACTCAGGAAGATTGCACAAGCACCTCCCCCCTCCCAACGCCAAAACTGTAAAGTGAAGAGGGAATTATTTAACTCAATTTTATATAACCGAACGACTCTTGGCAGTCGGTGGTGATTAGCACTGATTGATTTGTGTTTTTTGATGGTCGTTGAGCATTTGCATATATATATGTATCTACTCGTAGTCGTGTGCAAGTATCGTTTATACTTTTAGTTATTTAGTTGCTGTGGGAGCTGGCTTTGAGCCAAATGATTGGCGGCTGAAGCCAACACGCACACGCATCTTGTACAGCTGCAAATTGGCTGTTTTCAAAAAGTAGGCAGTAAAACAAAACCTGTCTTCGATAAACCGCAATGGCAACAGGGGAGTATTGCATAACTTTCGCTGCATCTTGTGGAATCATGGTCATATCCCCATACTACAGCTTTGGCAAAAAGTTGTCTTGTACATTGACACATCTGCAAATACATCTCTAATTGTTACCGCACTCCGGAACAATCACGAATACAACTTTAGAGTTGACCCGAAAAGACACACAAAAAATTATCATTATTATCAAAAGATTGTCATCAGTTGGCAGAAGTAAAAAGTAAAATAAAAATACAAAGCGAGACCAAGAGAGACAGAGAGAGAGAGAGAGAGAGAAAAACTTGGCCCCTGGCGTTGGTTTTGAATTTCTAGATGTTGCCGTTGCTGTTTCCCTCTGTGCAACTTTTATTGGATGGTAAGCGTGCTAAGCATGGCTGGCTCTTAACCATAAACATGGCCAGCGGCTAAGACACGAGCAAAATAATACTAGTCGCCACCACAACGGCAGAGCAGACAGACAGAAATAACCAAACCAAACCAACAGCAAGTTCTGTTATGCACAGTGGGTCCCTAACTATGGGGGCCACTAACTATGGGAGCGGAGCTCCGCTGTGCTGCGCTGTGCTCTGCGACCAAAAGATAAACTATTCGGAAAATGGTTTTCATTGTGCTGACGTCTAGCATATGATAATATCTTCTCCTAGTGTTGTTAGGTAAGGGCTTACATCAAACTCTTTTTCTTGGAGTTTTCCTTTTGTCATTCAAAGTAAAAGAGAAAGCAATACTCGTAGATTATATGGCTATATCCATGTCTGAAACTATTAAATTTCACTTATTGATCTATTTGGTATTGGCAGGTCCAGCTTTAGCCCCCAGCTTCAGCGTTTTTTAAGGCAATCTCACGGATTGCAGTTACCAGCAAATTACCAAACAATATGAATGGATAACATGAAGTTTTGATACCCTAACGTGGGGAAACAGAGATGTTTCCGCATCTGTCGCAATAAGCTAAATCAGCACCCAACTTTGTGAGGATCAAACAGTTGCTGTTTCAGAGTTAAGTATCTGCCAGGGTCTAATCCATTCTACATATGTACATCTGTTGATCCTTTGATTGGGTCGCATCTGTTTATCTGACGAATGACCTAATCGCAGGCCAAGTGAGTAAGCGAGGGGCCAACAAACTGGGCTATAAACAAAGAGCGAATCATGCCCATGCTCGTATAAGGCGAATGCTCGACTGGCCAACGTTTGCTGACTCTTTCAGGGTCAACGGGTGCGTAATCAATGGATGGAGGGGAGTGACGCCCACGCGATGACAGTTCAGCTAGTTCAATATATTGCGGAAATCAACCAAGAAGCAGCTGAGTAAAGGAAACCCAAAGATGCTTAAAATGCAATTCAGTTTTTGGTCAAATAACAAATTGATGGCAAATAAACAAGTTAGGGTACGCTCTGCAGTCGCACATACATGAGTATATACCCTCCAATTTATAAACAATATCTATATTTGTTTTTATACAACAAAAACTGGATTACCTTCTCTCCTCATTGTTATACAGTTCGACTGGAGTTGTTGTTTCTGCTGCTGCTGGTGCGCTGCTGCTGCTGCTATTGTTTCGCTTATTTATTGTTAACGCTTTTTGCCAGCCACTGCGACAGGTTGTTAGAGTGCCCCTGCTGCCGCTGTACACATTTCATTACACTTCACTTGAACTGTTTGTTGCACCGAGCGAGCACAGGAGACCGAAAAGCAAGCACAGAAAAATGTGGAGAAATACTAATATTAATATACAAATAAATATAAATACAGGCGATGACGTCGTCTCTATGTAAATGCGTCGCGTTGGTGTGTGCGCCAGTGTGCGAGAGTGTGTGGGCCTAAAACCTTTACTGGTTCTGGCCAAAATACCAGCCAACACGCTGCTGGTACCTACTCGTGGTACATACTCGCACATACAGAGGAGGTGTATGATATAATCGCTGCCATGAATGAATGAATGGATGAAAGGCGTTGCAGCTTCTCGCACAGGCATTTCGGACCGACCGTGGCTCAACACAATGGCCAAGACTTGGCGAGACCCAGACCCACCATGGACTTCGGAACTCGTCTAACCAAACTCAAACTCTAAAATCTTCCCGGCCCAAACTCTTTCTGGGGCTGGTGCTGAGACTGGCGGCAGCACAGCAAATTGCAGCGCTATAATGAAATCGCCCATAATCTTGGCTAAGGCTAATAATAGCAGCAGGTTTTGGAGCTGGCCAGCACACACAAACACACACACACACACTGAGAGACACTCGCACACAGGCAGACGCAAGCAAACACACACAGAAACACAAGCAACTACAGATTTAGCCAAATGGCGAACAAATTCGGGTATAACTCTGTTTGTTCTTTTGCCCCCGGTTCGGGCGTACACTTCACGCAACAAATTCAAATGACACTCACGTAATATGCTAAAAATAGTGGAATTTATTGCGCGATTTTCGTGTATACGATTCTGCTGTTGTTGTATTGTCGGGCAGTTTACCGATCGGACAGATCGGCTGGCTCTCCAATGCACACCGAACTTCGTAGTGGTAGTCGTAGTCGTAACCGTAAGTCGAAGCAAACGCGACGCGAGTTGAGCTTAAACTGATCTTCGGAGCGCACTCGCGCGCACCTGTGACGACTGGTCTGAAGCGCGAGCGCAGCTTTGACTAAAAACCGGTTGCTCTCTTCTGCTTACTCTCTCAGGAGCTCTGCGCGCGCTCGCTCTCGAACTCTCCAACTTTTTCGCTCTCTTTCTTGTGTCTTTCTTTCTGTAGGGGCCCCCAAGTGGTGCCGGTCTCCGCCATCTGCACTTTGCACTTTCGGGCTCTGCAGTTTTGTTGTCAAACTGCAAAAACTGCATTTAATAACCGTTAACCGAAAGTTCTGCAACACGTGCAGCGCGACTCCATTCGAAGGCAGTTGGGAGAGCACTCCATGGGAGAGGGCTGTGACTGGGCTGTGACTGTGACTGGGGGATGGGGCGTACATAGCAGGCTCAATACATTAGGCTTCATGCCTGTCAGACCGCCACCACTTTGGACCGCAGCTGCCGCACGTGACTGCCGCTGCCGCTGCAACGACTGCTGTCTGGTTAGAGTGCATTGGGGGTCAAGAGTCTGGAGTGGGGGGCCTAATTTGCATCATGTCATTAGGAAGAGTGGCATCGATAATGGGGCCAGAGTCTATGGTTCAACATTTGCCCCCTTCCGAGGTTTGAGCTCTGAGCTCACTCTCTGCTGCATTTATGGGCAAAGCATATTCAAAAACTGCACTCATGTAAATAAAAGTTGGGATACAAATCAGTTCTGCGGCTCCTCCCCTTTGAAAGCACAAAAAAGGCTTAAATAATATGGCGAACTTTGCATTTCCTGTTGGCCAGTCCAGTTTTCTTTTCGTGCATCATTTAAATGCAGCAAAAATGTTGGCATAAAAATATGCATAACCGGAATCTGAAATGCTCTTTTTTGTGTGTGTGAGTTCGTGTGTGTTTGTGGATGTTACTTCAATGTCAATTGCGGGGCGGGCGGGTAAAGCGAAGCAAGTGGGAGCTTCCACTTAAATTTTGTGTGGGTTGAAAAATGCATAGAGGAGCCGCAGCAGCAGCCGCAGAAGCAGCAGCAAAAGCAGTGAAAGGCAGCCCAGGGCCTGCAGCTGGCGACGGAGTTGAGCTGATGGAGCTGGTCTCTTGTCTTTCCAGCCCTCGCAGACGTGTTCGTTATGGTATTTTAGTTATTGTCTTCAGTTTGTCACTCTTTTCATATCTCGTATTTTTCTTAGAAGTCCCGTTACTTCTTGCTTACGGTACACAGCAGGCGCAGCAGCATGTGATGATGTCCTGACGTCTGGATGTTTGTTCTCTGGAACTGCAAGTAGTAAAAAGTTTTCTTCAGCTGAGTGTGTATGTGTGTGTGGATGTGAGACAGGACCTTACTCAGTGCCATAAAAGTTGCATAAAACTGCACAGATTTTCTTAGTACTGTGTGTCATGAAAAAGTTTAGGATATCTCTTAGACATGCCTCAAAGGATCGCTTTAACATGACCCTTGCCTTAACCTTAAAACGCGAGTCATTTGTACGTCATATGCAGTAAACTGGTGGCTCCCAACAAAAGCCGGAGATGGGGACGGAACTTGGCATGTGTCAGGATTTAATTTAGATAAAAGCTTTTTCCACACTTTCAGCGTGCCACTTACTGAGCCGTGACGATAGCAGGAACCGACCTTTGACGTGCACCACACATACTCGTGGCGGTGGTGCCCTCAAATCAATTCTATAAACATTTTGCCTGCCGCAACCTGCCGAGGACACGACGACAATTTGTCTTAATGCCAAGTTAGACATATGGATTGATTCAAGCTTATCAAAAAGGAAGCAACAACGATTGCAGTATGTTAAGTATCAAACGCTGATTACAATCTATTTGAAGGGGTTCTCCACACATTTGACCCTCTGTAGACCCACCCATCTGTTAACTGCACTTTCACTTTAATTATTCATTGACATTTATTGATTGAATTTGATAGTAGTTCTTTCTGCAGCATTTTGTTGGATTCACATTAAGTAGGGGGGTTTTGCTCACAATATGTTTTTGATTTGATATTAGCTGTTACATGCTGTTGACACACACACACATTTACATACATAATGTACTTAGGTTTAGTTAGGATCGTTTATTTGCGGTGTTTTTGTTCGCTTTGCTATTCAGATATTACTTAACGGAGGGGAGCTTAGGAACCTGTATCGTGGCCCGTTGTTGGTATTTGCAATACACACACATAAATATTAATGTATTCACATTTAAAAAAACTATATTCTTGCCTCGTTCTTGTTATGTATCATTTAAATATCTGTATCAAGTTTCGGCGGTAGAGTGTTTTTGTTTTGTTTAGTAGTTCTGTATTGGCTTACAAAAAATACAACAGTTTATAAATATTGTACCTAGTTTTCTCTTTTCTGATGTGTATGGTATGGTATGGTGTTTCGTTTCAGTGTAAAAGTTTGAAATAAATAAATATTTATAATCGTAAATATCTTGTAGTTTGCTGTAAGCTTGTTTTTTTTTTCTTCAGCAGGTTGCTTGTATATATAGCAATCAGAATGCCTTCGCATTGTACTATATGCATGTAGGAGGGCTCTGTTTTAGGTTCCTTTGTTTTGTATTCTGTAACTAGCACAACAATTGTACACTCAAATATGTATATTATATATCGTTATAGGTATGGTATATTTTGGTATACACTCATGTATGTTTTGGCCTTGATTTTTCCTTGCATATTCGTATTGGTATGTTCAGTGTTTGGTTTTGCTTCGCTTTGGTTTGGTTTGATTGGGTTTAGTTCGTGGCAAATGCGTTTGGTCTTTGCTTTGGTTTGGCCAACATTTTCGCATTTTACATTTGTATATCAGTTTTCACTTTTGCTCTTCTTTTCGGTGTCCGATAACCAATTTTTATTTGCTTTTTTTCGTTCGTTCTCGTAGTATTTACTCTTTAGCTAGTGCTAGTAACATGAATAATTTAATTGATTTCATTTGATTTATTCCTATTGTTTGCGTGTTTGCACATGTTCTGTGTGTGTGTTTATCGAGTTTGTCTATTCGATATAGGAAATTATCATAGGTACACAGATCAAAACAGTAGTTGTGGGTTGGTTAATAGGGCAAACATTTGCCTATATATTTACGAATAATCGTATTTATTCATTTATGTACGTTTCATCAACTATTTCTTTTTTAGCCGCACAAAAGCCTGGAAGATAGCAGTGTTCAAAGAGAGAGGGAGAGTAGTTCTGTTCGGCGAAGAGCTGTTCAAAATAACAAGTGCCATTGGAAGATATTTGAGTAACAGGAAAAGGAAATGGAAAAGATAGTTGTAGTTCCATAAAGACACATTTAGCGTATGGCGTTGACTCTACTTCGATGTTTGTCTCGTGATCTTTTGTCGATGTCTTGGCGATGGCAGACACAACCGAAGTTGATAGAAACAAATTCCAACTTAAAACGGAATGAAACACAATCAAACTGAATAAAGATCAGACAAAGGCTGTGTGCAAAGATACAGAACCGAAAATAGTTGATCTTACTAACTAAATACTTGCTGCATATTCACTGGTTATTAATTATTTATCCATTTATGTATATTTATGTATAATATTTATATTCTTGTATGCCATAATACTCGTTCGTTTTTTTAATTAACTTGTATTCATGAAGTGTCTATCGCCCGGTGTGGGCTCCCCCGATGGAGTTTAGTGTAAATATTAAAAATAGCTTGTAATTTGACTTGGATTTTCTTTGCTTTTCTTTTGTTGTGCATCATACATATCTTTTGCTCCTCAGCCCCGACCGCTGATGCCTTTGCCAAAGGTATAAAAAGTTTCTTTTTTGCTACAGTTTAAAGTTAAGAGTTACACAGTTCCAACAATCCCCTCATTATTCATAATAAACTACTCCTACTCATACATACATAGCTGTGTGTAGGAGGTATATGTTTGAGTTTCTTCTTTATAGAGAGAGACTATTGTATATAGTACAAAATTTACAATAGAAGCGAGACCTTCTTCTTCCTCTTATGGGTACAAAAATCAATTCGGGATGGGATTCTAGAGTAGAGTGGAGTGAAGTGTAGTGTTATTTTTTTGGTGGGGGAAAAGCCCTAAGTTGTGTATAAGCAAAAGAGCTGAAGGCTGCCTCTCTGGGGAGAGGGCGTAGGGTAGGTAGGTAGGAAGGGGGACAGGCATGTGTGTATCTAATAAATTTATACAAAATCTGTGCTCAGAAAATAGTTTACAAATATACTTTAGACTTAGTTACACTGTCCTTTGGGCGTGATATAAATATACATACATAATACATATCTTCATACATACATACATACACACATTTATTATAAATAGCTTTCTTTTGCATTGGCAAGTGTTGGTGTGTGTGTGTAAGGAGGGAGCGGGGTTTTAAAGAAGCTCGGAGTTTTTTATTTTGATTGTTTCTTGGCTTATGGTTGAAAGGAGTTTGCTCTTTCCCCCATTCATAAATGTTTCCATATGTATATATTGATATATTTCGTATAGTTTAAATTGACCCAAAAAATGTTGTGTGGGGTGTCTCTCTATGCCAAGTTCCGGTAATCCGAAACTCTTTCATTGTGTCCATGTTAAAAAGTCTTCAAAACGCATCTGGGTGCTGGAGTTAGGTATCTCTAGTGTTTGTGGTTGTCTGTGGCTGTGTCAGTGTTTCGTGAGTTTCATCTTTCATCTAATACATTTTTATTGATTGCCTAATTGTGACAACTTCAGCAATACATCATGATGTGCTACGCTTCTACATGTGCACGTAGTCCCTAGTTTTATGTTTTTGTTCAAGTAACGTTTTGTGTAGAGCAGGGAATGCATGTCATGTCCCATTTACTTGTTACTTTTGCACCATTGGAATTTCATTTCGATTTCGGTAATTCGCTAACATTTACAAACAGAAGAGAGGAATGGTTGGGTGGGGGAGGGGCAGGGTGTTGAGTCTTTTGTCAAACAACTAGATTAAGTACAATACATACACAATGCTGGATTGGATACAGTTTACGAGTAGCTTTTGGTTAAGTTATCCGCCATCAATGCAATTACATTGCACGATCCACCACACTTTTTCACACTTTTATCCCGTCAAATATACGTTTTACAAACGTTTCGCTCTGTCCGGTTCTGTCCAATCCTGTCCTGTCATCTCCTCTTTAGAATCAAGTGATAAATCGCGCTTTTTGTTTGCGCACAAAGTCCTGGGCCTGTTTGTCGTTGACGCGCAGCTCAAGTATTTGCAAAATTGGATTGCCTTGCAGAAAATATGACAGCATCGAGAGAAGTTCGTTAACGATAGAAAATATTCAACTTACATTTATCCTTCTGTTGCATGAGGGGCAGCTCGATCTGCTTTAGGCCATGAAAGTTGTCCACACTGGTGCTGTAGGCCTCCACGCCGGGTATGTTGCCCAGCGCCAGGTAGGCCTCGCCTCCGAAATCATTGGCAGTGAGGACATCGTGATCCATGACTGTGAAGCAGATCATGGCGCCATCGGTGAGGCATTGCTCCAATGTCACAGAGAACTCAAAACACTCGTCGAAAATGGGATTCAAAGTGCGCTAAAAGAAATACAAATTAAAGTAAAGTTTCATCCATATGGAAGAGGGACATCGTACCTTGTGCACATTCGTTTGCTGCTCCATGCAGTGCAGAAATATCCTTCGTGGCAGCAGCTCAATCACCACAAACGGATCGCTGAAACCATTCGGATCTAATGGCACCACATCGCGTGCATGCAGAACCTCCACACAAAGAGAATCATGATTGAAGTAGGCCCGCACGGCCAGCGATCCATACGGACTTGGACACACGGTCATCAGCTGCTCCCGCAAGCGATTCATGTAGAACATGTCTATGAGCCGATCCGTGTCCGTCTTGTGGAACTGCAGCCGCTGCTCGATTCGCCAGAAGTCGTCCGTGTGCAGGCACTCCAGCAGCAGGCCCTGGCCCTCGGCATGAAAGAAGTCCACCAGTAGCTGGAGGGCCTCGTAGAGCCGTTTGTGGAAATGCGTGGGCTTGTCCGTCTCATCGCCCGTCTCCATTTGGCGGGACATCTCGCCCAGAACTGTCTTCCAGATGAAACGCAGCGAACGATTGAAGTTCTTGGTGAGCAGGGCGCTGTTGAGCGCCGCCAGGTGGCAGTCCAAGTACTCCAGCAGCGGCACAATCGCCTGATTTGCAGGCAGGGAATCTGGTGACCAGGCCAGATGGAACACGGCCTTCTGCAGCGACATCTGCATGAGCGGAGCCAGCTTCGAGAGGATGCGCTCGGTGCGATTCTCCATGTGGGTGAGGCTGGACTCGAGCAGGTTGTCCGCCGATTCCTCCAGGGGCTGTTCATCCGAGCGGAACTCGGCCAAGGTGCGGCGCACATATTCCACATTGTTTACGGTCACGCACATGTCGTCCGAGCAGCGGAATGGTCCCTGCTGCTCGTAGTATCCGCTGTCTGCCAGCGCAGTGTGAATGAGGTCGCAGTAGTGCATGGCCGCCGAGCATACCACATCGATGAGCTGCGATTCCAGCATGATGGCCGTGTCCTCGTCCGGCCAGTTGATGACCTTCCAAAACTCCTTGATGTTCAGCAGCGTGCTGGCCGTGTCCACCGAGGAGCTGCTGTACCTAACGATGCGTTCGCCCTCACAGATGGCGTCCATGCGGATGGCTGCTCTGATGCGCTGCAGGGCCTTCGCCTTGCTCACCATCATCCAGCGCTCAAAGGTGGGGATGAACCATTCGTGGCTGTTGCTCAGGGCCAGCGGCTTCTCCGGCGGCTGTGGCTGGGCGGACAGGTGTCGTTTCAAATGACAGAACTCCTGCAGAGCGAGAAACAATTCAAACGGCTTCGTGTCCACCGGCTCCGCATCGCCCTCCAGCACGGCATACTGCGACAGGTTCATCCGCACCCCGGGCACCTGGCCGGCGGCCATGCGGCTGTACAGCTCCTCGCCCACCATCGCATCGTATTGTTTGTAGATAATGCTGAAGTATTGAATGCCATTCGTGCTGTGAAAGAGAGAATCAAATGGGAGGGGGGTATAATGGAGTTGAGTTGGAGTTCCGGCGGCAGACAAATGATGGCTCAAAGGCTCTCAGTTTAAAGCGTGCAAAAGCCGCAATTAGCCCGGGACAGACCCTGGCTAACTGGTAACTAAATTTTAGCTAATGCCTTGCCACTCAACACTTTCTCTGACGGCTTCCGGACTTGATGTTTGTTAAATGCCTCGTCAGAATGCTGTCCGCAGTGTGCTGTCTCCCGTTCTATCCTTTCCTGACCGCCTGTCCGGCGCTCGGGGCAGCAACGTGAGAGCATTTTTATGACAGCGCAATTAATTTGAGGCTTATGTGTGTAAGCCACTTGATGTCCTCATTAAGGTTCTTTTATGGCCCCGCTAACTGGCAAATATGTGACTGATAAGTCCGCCTTGAAAGTGCCAAAGATGCGAAACTATGCATCCAGAAGTGTGGAGCAGCACCTAATGGTGCAACGTGATCTGTATCGTTGTGCTGATCAATATATTACTTAATTTACACTGGGAGCAGTTCCCTGAGGAAACTCTCAGGAACCTTTCCATGCGGATGCCACTCCTCTGTGAGAGCTAGGAGCACTCCCAGCAAACGCTACGGGCCATCTGTCATGACAACATTTTGTGGCCCTCATTATGGCTCGTTAGCTTTATGAGCTTTGTCGTCGTGGCATTTGACAAATGCTCAAACTGATTAGAGAGCAGCGACTGTAAAGTGGTTCGCCCCCGGACACCGAATGTGGATAAGTTCAAATCGAAATGACGTCAATTCAATTGGGTCAACATTGGTCGGGATAGCCAGAGAGAGAGGGTGCAGTGCAGTGCGTGGACCCAGGACCCACGACCATCGCTGCTTGTTTTCCTAAACTGCTTTTTGTAGAGTGCCAGGCTAGTAGATGGCTACAGATACCTTGCAGCTTGGTTTTTATGGTCGACACGTGTCCGGGATACTTAATCTAATGATGGGGCGGAAGCGCTAACCAATTGGAACCTATATAACTAAGACAACTGAGCCGGATTCCTGCAAGTACTCACTTGTCAAAGAGGGCATGGTAATACGTCTGTCCCAGCTGGATGTCAGCCGTTAATGTTGTTACGAAGTTCGATAATGGATTGGGCAAGCACTGCGATTCGCGTAGCACATTCTGGCCCCACATTATGGAGCCCTTGCGCAGGGCATTCACCACCTCGCCGCGTACGCCCTTGTTGAAGGGGCAGACGGCGCGAAAGGCCCGCATCGAGCCGAGCAAACCCAAGCAGCGCAGCAGGAACTCCAGGCGTATCAGCGAGGGCGGATTCAGGGCCGGAAAGATGTCCCTGTGCCGTCGGATCTGGTTCAGCGAACGCTCCACAAATCCATTCATCGCCTCGGCCAGCCACTGCTCCAGATCGCGGCTCAGGGCCTCCTGGTTGGGCTGGTTCCATTGCTTCTCCACATCGCCCAGCAGACGATGGAGGAACTTTGGGTCCAAGGGCGTCGATCGATTCAGCTTGGCAGCAGCCACATATCTGAAGAAATAAAAGATTAATATCTAGGAAAGGTTGCTTCCACTTTCATTTGATAACTCACCTGGCCATGGCGCAGTGCAAATCTGAGAGATCTCCCTGCACGGCCAATTGATGGAGTATAGTGAGGGCTGGACCCGGCAGATCTCCGCACCAGGTCCACGATGGCTCGTGGGTGGTCACCTCGTGCTGCATAAACACCATCTGCAGCTGTTCGACCTTGTGCATCTGGTGCTCGTGATTCTCCTCGGCGATATTGCCCCGATCATCGCGTGTCGAGAGCCACAACTTAAGCCGTATACGTCCCTGCACGGTGCTGCGATGACTGCGTGCCTCCAGCTTGAACCAGGCATCCAGGCCCGTCGAGGGTATATCCGAAATGGCTATATTCACGGAGCCCAGGAAATCGTCTTGGGAGCCCTGACGTGCCGACTGGCAGACCTGCTTGAAGAAGCGCCCCAAGCCGCGCACGCCACGAACTTCGTTCAGTCGCGAGACGGCGTCCAGGACGCAGCTTTCGTCATCGTGGTCCCAAATGTCCAGGTGAAAGGTATCCGTGTTGATGTCATCTATGTCACTGCAGGCGACAAAACAAAAGATTGGAAATGCTGTGTGAGCTGTGAACTCTGTTTATGGACAGGCCATATATCCTGTGGAAATTCTTTTGCTGCTTTCAATTTTTTGTTGTGTTTTATGTTCCAACAAATGTTTGCTCATGTTTATAGATTTATTGGTATATAGCCCCGAGCTTTGCTGCTCCATTTAATTTATTACAAGATTTATATTTTTTTTTGCTTTTAAATTGGAAATACTCTCTGATGCTGGCTAAATATATTTCTGGGAAATTACGAGTACGAGTACTCGTATTTCAATAGGGGGAAACCCTTTTTTTAATGTTCATGAATGTGGCATGTATTTATTTTTCAATTATAATAATTGAATGGTTTCATATTTAATTCCCAACTGGAGCTTCTCGCAAAGGTCAAGTTTTGGTAATTGGATATTTCAGGAAATTGGCTATAAATGGAATTCTCAGACAGGAGCAAAATAATACCGAGACTATTTTTAGAGTGTATCTAACCTTCGACTTCCGTTGGACGCTTGTCGCTCTTTTTGTTCTGTTTTTATTGCAATTGAAACATAAATTTGATTGCATTTCTTATGGGGCATCTTTCTTATGCATTTGTGTTTCAATTTAAATGGATTTCTTTTTCCTTATTGCTTACAACTCGTAAATTACGTTCGGTACTCGGGGGATTCGAATCGTTTAGCATGCGACAGAGATCCTTCCTGGTTGTCTGGCCCGTTTCCTCCGCCCCAAGTGTGAGCCACATTTATCAACCAGTGAAGCGTTAATGAAGTCTGAAAACCCACTTTGCTTTTTGTAGATGAAATTTCAAGCATTTACAAGTTTAGAAAGGGAGCGCGCGGCAGTAATTGAATAATTCGTTACAAATCCCGCCATTAAGTGGTCCGTGGCCCTCCATTTGATTTGGCAAAACAATTTCTAAAGGTCCCCACTCCACGGCACTTCACTTTCAGTCCTGTCCATTTAATTCACTTACAATTTGAACTTCTCATTCCATTTGGGGGTCAGCGTGTGCGGCTTGATGCTGGTCGCCTTGATGAGCTTTGCTGGCACCGGTCCGCCCAGTGAGTCGCGCTGCTCCCGTCGACCCGCCTCCCGCCGCTTGAAGCTCAGCCGGAAGCTATGCTTTCGGTGCGGCGGCGAGTCCGTGGCACTGTTGTCAAAGCCACCGCTCATGTCCGCCGATAGGGCGCGCGGTGTCGGCGGCAGCGGCAGCGGCGACACGGGCGGACAACCGTCACCGTCCGGCTGGATGCCCAGCATGCAGTACGGATCCGAGAAACCTGCGGGACCAATAAATAATTGGAGAGAGAGTGTATCAGTGGAATAAAAGATGGCAAGGAACAAGGAGAACAGATGGGAACAGAGATGGAGAGAGAGTAAAGGAAAGTGAGAAATGGTGCAGCATTAATGAAGTGCTCGCCCGAATGACATTAAAGGCCAATTAATGAGGCTGCCCTCCAGGGGAAGGAGGCCAGGCTACGGTGTCAGCTGCTGGCAGTCACACATTGCGTATGATTAACATTTCATTTGCATAAAGTGCCGCTCAATTATTGAGTAGCCGTGATTGACGCACAAAGGCCATCGACCATTCGCCATCAATTCAGAACAGATGCCAAGCGTCCGAGATTAAGATTATTTATGAAGAGCGAGCCGAAAAATGGAAAACACGAAAGCTGAACGTTCGTACTGGAAAATGGCATTGAGTTCGGGTAAAAGTTTAAGGAATTATGGAGTGCCAGGATCTGCACCAAAATCAGTTCAGCTTTTGGCTGGGGATTGCGCTCGTAAAGCGATTACCCCACAGAAATGGTTAATTTGGAATTCGGATTTGTACAGGGAGCAGCAGCACAAGCAGCAGCAGCAGCCGCACTCACTGTAATGACCAATTGTGTTACTGGCTTTCATGCTTGACCAAGCCAAAGGGAATCAATGGCTGCTAATGAAAACTGAGCCCAAGCCGAGCAGCCTGCTTCTCCGCTTTGGCAGCTTATTTGCCAATCGAGAATGGCCCAAACAAAGGCCAGTCGCCTATTCTCATCGGCCGCGTTTCATTGCCAACGAGTTGTTTGCCATCTGCCCAGAGCCACAAACTTAACCTCTCCCCCCACTTACTCACACTCCTGCCTGGAATATCATGCCACCCGCTTACTCCTCCTGCCTGCTGCTATGGCAAGACGGGAGCCGTCATCAGTACATTTAGCAGATGGCTGACGGCACTAACGCTGCACTACTAGGACTGGACAGAAACGAACAAAAAAATGCTCAAACAGAAGTAGAAGTAGACGAAGGAGCACTCAACGTATTCCTTACACATCCTTGAGCACATTAAAATGCGAAATTGCGTTGCCTTCGATGTGGCTGTGGCAAAAGCAGCAGGAGGAGGAGGAGCACCAGCTCCCAGTTCTGGTCTGCCATGCTCTGCTCTCGAGCATAATGAACAAAATGGGAAGCATTAAATTGCAAATTTATTGAACGAACACTGAAGCTGGGGGAGCTGGGAGTTGTGGACCCAGAGACAGATGCGAGAGACCAGGCAGTGGTCCAGGCATAGGCAAAACTGTAGCTCTGGGCCAGGCAGAACCCACAAAAAATGTGAAAGAAAAGCGAAGAAAATATACTATAATTGAAGGAAATAGTCAACGCACATGCTGCCACAGTTTTTGGATGCCTCGTTTGGCTTTTTGATTTGCCCAGGCACACGCACACACACACACACACACACACACCGATACACGCATACAATTCATAATGCAATTACCGCAGTAGCCGCAAAATCAATTTACAAACTAAAAATATTTACAGACGACAACACAAGAGAAGGTAGAAGTGAAGGGAAGGCTGGAGGATACACATATATATATTGTATGGAATATATATAGATGGATTGATACATCGGTGAGGAGTACGGGGTGTCAAGGGGGGCGTGTGAGCTCTTACCATTGGCATCCTTTGCCTCCAGGCCATCAGCCTCGATTACCACCGCAGAGAGTACGATTATCCTTGGTTTATCCTCGGCGGAGGCATGCAGCAGGCGATAATGACGATCCGGATTGACACCAAAGGCGCGCTGTGCATGCAGATACATCTCATCCTTGTAATGTGCAAACTTTGTACCATCCAGCAGACAGCAGCCAACAGCCAGCATCCAACATCCAGCAACCATTCAGAGCAGACAGAAAGGAAGCCAAAGACGAAGCAGATTTTCCATATGAGCCAAATTACGTGTTGCCATAGGGAGAGGAAGAGCACAATGTATTCTCATTTAATTTAATTATATTGTCATTTATTTGTAAATATTTGCGAGTAAACAAAATTATAATATCATTAAAATTTAAAAAATTTGCATATTTTCCCCCGTTGCGAAGTGGCAAAGTAAAAGAAATATTCATTTATTGGCTGGCAAAACATTTTTCGTTTTCTTTTCTTTTTTTTTTTCTTATTTTTCTTATTTTCTCTCAACTCTATTGATTTATCTTGCGTTGAATTTATTAGCCTCTCGACTTTTGATTTCGATCACGGTTCGCGTAACGCTTTCATCACAAAACGTCCCCCCGCCCCGGCCCCACTACTGCTCTACGGCGGAGGGCGGGGTAGAGGCTGTTATTATAATTTGATTGCCTGGACCTGCAGTCGAAAATATGGGGCAACTTCATTATGAGGCCATTAATTCGACTTGGATATCGAGGAGGGTGGTTCAAGTTTCATACTTATGTTGCAAACATTTTCAAAATCCAATTAAATTTTTGTGTATTTTTATTACACTCTCTGAAATATTTGTCTCACTGGATCCTTGGTTTGAATAATGATTAGAAAGCATTTGATATGATATTCAAGTCTCGAAGACAACGAATGATTGCATTAAATATTTTATTGGTAATTTACGAAATTAATTTGCATTTAAATTGTGGCATTAAAAATAGATTTTTAATGGCAAAATATATTCAAGAAAGTAATGCTATCGGGTTTTGATAGGTGTTCATAATTGAAACACAAATGAAAAGAGTTTTAAAGTAATCGATATTAAAATCAAATGCAATCTCTGCTAATTGGTATTTTTTCCAGTTCGATGCCTGCACCATAACGAAAACAACGAACAAACGAATTTTTGTTCCTTCTTCTCCGAAGAGTAAGTTTTTCATCAGCTCATTATAATTGTAACTAATCCTTCTTTTCATTTGCGTCACAATTTTGAGTCCCTGCTGCAGAAACTTTCTTGGATTTCTTTCCTTTTCTTATTTCTTTTACTTTATATTTTCTTTCTTTTCATTAATTTCCATTAGCAAAGGTTTAACCCTCTGATGGCCGAGCAAATCGCATTTACTTGTAATTATTTACCATTAAATGCAAAAATGACCAACAAACTAAAGCAGAGTAAGGCGGCGGAAAGGGGAAAGGGCACCGTCGGCCCCCATTGAGACTGTGCAAGGCAATAACTTTCTTTACCGACTTTCTCTCTCTCGTCTCTCTATCCGCTTTGCGGGGACCCGCGAGATTTGACCAGTTTCAACTCAATCACAGCAGGACGAACGCGTATTTTCCGCTCACTAGGACTAGCAGGAAACTTTTATTATGCTGGCGTAACCTTGCTTCTCATCTGGGCCTCGCCACTACCCCAGCTGTACTGCTCCTGTTGAAGGAGCGCCTGCTGCCCCGCCCTCTGGGACTAAAGCTCCAGTTTCATTAGTTGTGCAATGGGCGGTGGGACGGGGTGGGGTCTGGCGTCTAACAATTTTCTTACTCTTAAATTAAAAACGATAATTGAAAAATGAACTCGTGTTAAGGCAGGCAGACGACGCCCGTAGCCGGGAGAAAAATATGGCGAAAATATTGGAAAATTCCTTTTCAAATGGCAATCATCAGTGAGGAGGAAAAAGTAGCAAATTTTTAATTGCATTTCCCAACCCTCCACCTCACAAACATAAGCTCGAGAGCCGGTCAAAAGAAATTGAGTTCCCTGCCAGATGAGGTATGGGGAGAGGTTGCGCCTTAGGGTTAACCCAGATATTAATCATTCAAATTGCAAAACGTCTTACGGATCCCTAATGTGCCCGATTAAGCCTTTCAATCATTTTGCATCCTTGCTTCGGGGCCCAGCCATAGGCCTATTTGTATCTTTGTGTGTGTCCCCCAGAAATTGCCTCAAATTGTATAATTTGTAACTATTTGCATAACCTCTCCCATTCTCTCTTGGACGCCGAAATAATAATTTCATTCAACTCTGGCGTTCCCTCGAGGAACTAGCCCTTCACCAACAGCAATATTGATTTATCTCGGAGCCACTTACCTGTCCGCCCGGTGCGGGTGCTCCCACCGTATTGGCAATGGTATGCAAGACCTCCGCATACAGCTTCTCCTTCTCGTCCTGGCGGTCAATGGACTCCTCGGGTGCCGGCGGATCACGTTCATTCTCGGGATTAGCCTCCGCACGTGCCTCGGCGGCACGCGTGGCTGACATGCGACGATTTTCACGTTTCCAGCCCAGCGATGTAAAGTTCTCAAAATACGAGCCATCCGTTTCCTGTACCCTGTATTGAAATACAACAACATCAAAAAAGAGAACCGATAAAGTAGAGGGTTATCCATATGTGCAATAGAGTGATAGAGAGGAAGGGCGGGGGGATCCATTCGGTACGAGTATCAGAGTCAAAGAATATTTAAATTGACTGCCTGTGCCTGTCAGTTCGGTGTCTGACTTTAATTGGCACTGTCAATATGCTCTTCTCAGCGTATAAATGTAACACAGTCCGTGCCGTACCTATTTCAACATTGATAAGGGTCGCCGGACGCCTGTTGCCCGGACTACGCCACCCTTGGACCTCGTATACCCCGCAACCCGTTCTCGTACCCCTCGCTGCATGCCAGCCCCAACCTCGCCCTGAGCCGCTAATTGTATACAAATATTCAGAAGTTTGCATATTTGATTGAAAGTTTCAGTGTGCGAGTGTGTGGCGTGGAGAGGAAAGGTCCTAACTAGGCCTAGACACGATAGCTGGGATGCCCTACCTAATCATTTGATTTGCATGCCTCACCCACACTCAAACAGCCACACTCCCATGCCATCAAATCTGCTACGGCAAATCCCCTATCCGAGCAGATGTGGCAGGAAAAAGTTGAGCAAAACTTTGCGCACTCAGCACGGGAAACAGCTAAGCCGCTTAACTTTGTCGCCGGCGTTGATGATTTTTTACGTTTACGTTACTTTTATTGGGCAAGCAAAAAAAAAATAAACCCAAGCGATGAGTCCTCACAGTAGGCAAAGGCAGCGGCAGCGGCAACGGCAACGGCAACACTTTCTGTCGACACCCTGAAATGTAGGCAACTTTTTTTGCGAACACCTCTCCGTGGGTGTGTGTGGGAGTTAGGTGTGGGTAGGGCGTGTGAAAATGGTCAACGTAATTGCCGTAAATGATAGGGTAGACTGGGCAGACAGGACTGCCCAGGACACTAACTGCATTGTTTGAAGTTGTACCAGAGGACCGCCGCACTGTGCCACTCTCTCTCTGGGAAAAGTTTTGTGAAATATTTAATTTCAAACTTTTCCGCGCAGTTGTTTAGTTTGCTGTTTTATTTTCCCTCGTCGCTGCCTGTGCTTTGCTTTGTGATTTCATCGCTTTCAGAGACACTCAATTTTCGGTTTCAATTTTTAAGATTTTTTTCCCACAATTTTTTCACTGTCATGTATTTTTTGTGGGGCCCTAAGAAAGTTTTAGTTTGGAATTTCTTCGGTATTTATTTTGTCGGAAAATGTTTATTTTATATTTAACTTGAAGGTACGAAAAAAATAAAATCATTCTCGAGGTTACAAAGTTTTGTGCGAACCCAAACCTTGACACTTATTATTTATTATTATTTTGTTTTTAACTTTCTCAGAAAATGCACTTAAATTGATGATGAATTAATTGTGCTATGATGAATTAATTTTTTGCGTGTGCATAATATTTAATTGAATAGAACTTTAACTCAACTTTAATGGCTGTGTGGCGACAAACTAATTTCGCTCCAATTAACATTTGATGCATAAAATATGAGAATTCGTGTATCAATTGGATATTAATAAGCCGAGTAATTGTTGGGGCTTTACTGATAAATTATGCGGAAAAATGTGCGGTCAGAGGCTAGTTTCGAATGTGCATGGCTGCTCTGGACAGCGGACAGCAAATAACAGAAGTTGGCAGGCCGCAAGGCAATTCCTTGGACAGGCATCGATGGCTTTATTAACGAAGGAAATAAATCGAGCTGCTTTCACACTTCATTAAAGAAGCTTGAGGAGTTCTCATAGCTCCTTGGGACTGCTAACTTGACTAATGAATGTCTCAACTCCTCATGGAAGCGCTCTTCAAGCCCACTCTTCACACATTTTGATCATCAAAAACACATATTTCTCAAGGCCAGCATCACACGCTTTCTTTGCACCGAAAATCTCATTTCGGGCTTAATTAAATGTAACCTGTGATCCGCACTCACATTATGCGCACATTCTCGGGTTAAGCAGATGCCGTATTATGCAAAGTGGAAGGCGCTTCGTTCCCTTTGTGTGCCACAAAGATGCTGCAGCTGCTGCGCTGGCTGGGTTGTTACGATGTTGCACCTGGGCTTGGTAGGATTCTCTTGCTCGTTAAGAGCAATCAGAGTGCCCAACCCCAGGACAAGCAGCCTTAAACGAGCTCAAGAACAAGACACTTTCCATGTGGCAGGGGGGTTTTTTTGATGGGGCTTGGAGGGGGCTCTATGTGTATGTAGGTTATGGGCAAAAACTTTTTCTACACTCAAAGGTTTGGCCCGCATTCGAAGGATGTTGCCGGGCCAGCAGCAGCAGTAGAATCCCTCCTCTCCTTAGGTGGGTGCGAAAGTTTCTTCAGGAAAACTCAACGAACTTTTCTAATTACATAATTATGAAGGTCGAGAGCGATAAAGTTTTCTTTTGGGCATTCGAAAAAAAAACACAAATCGAGAAAACAACTGAAATTGAAGTACATTAATTAATTGGTAAATAATTCATTTTAGATTTCCATTGAGCCGCACTCTGAGCCTGTACCCGTGCACCATGTGGTGACTTTAAGGATTGCCTGTCTGCCTGCCCTCCTGCTGTCGCTCCTGCTGCTTATTTATGGCCCCAAAAGCAGGCCTCAAATCCCCAAAGACGCTCATTATCTCCAGTTCCTTCCCTCCCTCTCTCTCTGTTTAATTTATGCATTTCACATTCGAATACCTCTGTGCGTGCGTGAGTCTGTGGATGGTCTCTCTGTGTGCGTGTGTGCATGTTTGTATAAATATCTGACGGCAAGTTAAGGAAAATATTAACATTTCCATCTAAAGGTTAATTACCACCGGTAAACAGGTTCCGGACGGGGTTTAGGACCGTTTCGGCCACCTTTTCAGACAGACATTTATTTTCGAAAATCCATTCTCGGGCAGCTCTGGCTCTCAGCCGTTCCCGCACATCAACTATGCATTAGTTGCCCACCCCTTTTGGAATGCTGTTGGTCTTACCCAGAGTTGGAGCGCGGATCCACCTCGGGCCAGCTGAGCCGACGCTTGCAGAAGGCCAACGGTGGGCGTGGCGGTGGGTCCACTTGGTGCAGCGGCGAATTGCGTTGCCGGAAGGAGCCGGTGCGTGGCGGGGCTAGGCATTCCAGGGCGCGTGATTGACGACGGGATTGGGGTGTGCCACCGCTGCCGGAAGCGGATGTGGAGGTGCCGCCAGCTCCAGTTTTGGGATAACCTGCGAAAAGAGAAAGAGAGGCTTTGAGTTGTGCAGCAAAAATGAGTCTGGAAATGGGTCTGGAACCAATGGAAGCTCCACAGCTTCCGACACACATGCAAATTGTTGGTGGGGCAGGTACGAGAGCTCTGTGTGGCCATGTGGCACGAAAGTCAAATGGGAAACGAGTCCCCAACAGTCAAAGTCAATGTGCAGTGCGCTGGCGGTGTGGTCCATGCGGCGTGAAGGCGATGCTCAAGGCAAACAGCACTGCAACCGCAACCTTGACATGCATCTGTGCGGCTGCGGCGACTCCCACTCATACTCATTGCTCTGTATAAAGTCCTGCACAGTCTTCTAGTTGGTTCCGTCCACAAGGACAATGAAGCCCTACTTAGAACTAGGATGGGTAGAAACCATTTCTGCGGCTTCGGCAAGAACGATTTTTTTGTGGTACGGTCAGGGAAAGGATCCCTGCTGCTGCTACTAGGAAAAGCATTCGCAAAAAAAATTCCCAAACTCTAAGTTGGACTGGACTGAAATCCAAAGAACTGCCACACACACACTCGCACAGCAAATGCGCTTACACACTGATGGCTTTCGGTTAAGAGATTTTCCCCCGTGGTCTGTTGGCTAGGACAAACCGCTCGTTCGTGGCTCGTGCAACAAGATAAGCCAATTTCAATTTTGATTCAAATGCTGCAGAGACGCCAGTGAATCAAAATTCAAGCAAATGCCACCAAGTCCATCCATGTCGATGCCTGGATAGTTTCAGCAGTCGGCGGTTTATGTGGACAGGGCACGCTCTCCGGCTTGGCTCTGTCTTGGCGGCATTGAAATGTGTTTGCATTTGCCAACTGCGACAGAAACAACAACCCGAACATCGTTTAGCTTGGCAAACAAGTTTTGCATAGCCAACACGAGAAGCCGCACAAGAAGTCACATATGCATGTTGATTGCTTTCGCTCCACCAGCATTACTCTCCTCCTTCCACCCTGCAGCGGCGGATTTGTCTGTACATTTGTGGATACCCTCATGTACATATACATATGTACACGCGTTGGCGTGGCCAAACATTTGCGAAAGCGAAACTTTGGTCGCATTTGGTGCTCATACGCGCCCGAGATATGTAATGTAATTTTCATATTGCGACTCGATAACGCCTGGCGGATTCAATAAACTTTTTCATGTTCTCCCCATCCTGGTTGGTCTACAGACACACACAAACACACACCCACGTACAGAAAGATTGTTCTTATGGGGGTTTATAGACCGCAAAGTTTTGGCAGCTGATGGAAAAGTGAAAGTGGGGGAGCAAAGGTAAAAGTAAAAGTAAACGTAAGCTTTACTTTGGGATGAATTGTACTTTCCTTTAAGGGGATATGTACTAGATTCCACTTGGGGATTCAAATTTAACCGCCCGTTTCTTTGAACCAGTTGAATGAATCGCAGTTATACAATTTAGATGGAATTATGATGCCATTAGGAACTCAATTAGTTGCTCCCCGATCTAAGCCAAATGCAAATGTAAAACTCACCCAGTAATGGATTTGTGGCATTCGGATTGCCGATTACCACGCCGCCGGATGGATAAGTGCTGCCGCTTGATGTAGCTGCCACGCCTGCGATGGGTGTTGCTGGTGCCCCATAAACGCCAGCTGCACCTAGGCCCAGGCCCAGGCCACTGCCAATGCTCGTCTGTTGCTGAAGCGGTGGGTGGCGGTCATGTGCCGGCTGTTGCTGCTGCTGTTGCAACAGCAATTGTTGTTGCTGTTGCTGCTGCTGCTGCTGCTGTTGTTGAAGTGGCAAAGGCAGTGGCAGCGGCTGCTGTTGCTGCTGCTGCTGCGGTGGAAAGGGCGGCAGAGGCGTAGCGGCAGCAATTCCACCAGGTGGTACGCCCCCAACGCCTCCCGACTGCTGTTCGCTGGACTCCTGGCGGGAGAGGGAGAAGCGTCGATTGCCGAGTCCCAGACTGGAGATGCCACTTGTTACATACTGCTGCATTGAGCTGAGGAAACTCATGGCGGCATCTGGCGTTGTCCCTGCCCCGGCCTTTGCTTTATTCCGTTCTTATCACTTGCGTAATTGGCTTAAGTTGTTCCAACCCCTGCTGCTGCTCCCGTTCCTGTTCCTGCTCCTGCTCCCCTTGATGTTGTTGAATCCCTTTGTGAAATTAATCACTTGGAAACTTTTTGCGTATGCAAAGCCTCGGCTCTTTCGCTTTCTCTGGAACTGGTACTGTTACTGGCACTGGCACTGCCACTGCTTGTGTATCTGTATCTGGCGTCCGTTATGTTTCACAATTATAAATTGGTCCGATTTGGGGCCTAGGCAGCAGGCTCTGGTCCTCCTCCCTTCGTGGTGGCAGCTCTCGAGAGCTCTGGAAGTAAGAAATGAATTGTTTATTTAAGGTGAAACTTCTGCTATCCCCCGAGTCTGAGATTTGTGTGTTGTTATTTTTGGAAATAATTGAATTCCGGTCGAGGCTTAGGACCGCTCTTAATGCGGATATACGGTGCTCATAAATATGTTCGTGTTCAGATTAAAAGCAATTAGAATAGACCAAAGCAAATGGGGCTTGGAGTACTGAGCCTTTCGATTCTATTCTTGAGCTGTTGATTCCTTTGGCCACTCTACATAGCCTACTTTTTAGGGGAAATGAATGAGAGCCAAAAAACAAAACTTAATTAAGTCAACTTTTTCAGTTAGTGCAGACCAGAGCGCCTCTCCAGCTTCTGTCATTTCCCTGCCTGTCTATTTGCCTTCGATTCGTAAACGTCAGCATTTTTGTTGACTTTTAGTTGGAGCCGTTCGTCCTGTTTGCCCAGCCGAAGCCTGTGCAAATACAGGGGAAAAGGGAGAGGCGATTGCATTTAGGCTTTTGTTGGGTGGTCTATCGATTGATTTGTGAACACCATTGTTGGGATCTATCGATTGACTGAATTGAATGAAGTGAATCGCTGTTGGATCCTTCGATTGAATGGACGAATCGTTTTGCTCACTTGTCGGCGATGCCTGTTAATTAAATTTCTTTTGAAGTTGCGCCTCCGCACCAAGCACTCACTCTCGCTCTCCCTCTTCCAATTAACGTCTAATCAGCCGGTGGCCTAATGAGCCATTTTCGGGGTTCACGGCTAATCGATCTGCATGAATAATTGGGCCATACAGCAGCACCTGTCTGGCTGCCTTGTACGGGTCGTAAATTAGGTGCCATTTTAGCTCTGGTCTTGGCCACCAGAAAATACTAATAACAATAATTATTCTACCAAAAATAAACGCAGCAGCAAGCACAAAAATAGTTAATTAATTAGTTTGCCGGTTTTCGCCCTCATTTATGGATGAGCAAATCATCTGGGCGAAAATGAAATTGCAAATTGAACGCCGCTTGGTATTGTTTTTTTTGTATTTGTTTGTGGCCATTTTGGTCAAAACGTGACTGGCTTACGGGGCTAAACAGTTCATTCACAATTTCACCATGGAAACGTGGCTAGCAGCGAAGACACTCCACTTCAAAAAAGTAAAATAATTAAGAATCAAAAGAGTAAATGTGTGAAAACGGTGATTAAGTTGCGAACAGAAAGAGAATGCAAGCAAACAGCAGCAGCGTAAATCAAAGTAAACGGAAGAAACCTCATGAGATTAAAAGAAGAGAGCGCGTAAGTGCAAGAGAGAGAAAGCAAGAATCAGAGAGCGTCCAAGATGACATTTACACCAAGAACAACAGCAAACAGACTGCAGGCAGAAACGGTAAAAGAATCAAGAGACTAGAGTAAGCAATCGTGAGAGCAGCAGCCCTGATCAAAAACAGCAGATTACATGAAAGCAGACGCAAGAAGAGAGCGCAAAACGAAGGAGAACGTCAAACAGCGGGACCCTACAGTAGACCACATGGCAAAGATCATTGATAAAATATTTATTAAATCGAATTGTTGTCGATTTAGCTATGTAAATACGCTAGAAAACCAACATCAGCCCGCAACATAAATCCGAGTTGATTTGGGGGACACATTTCTGCCCAAATGCCATGTTGAACAGTGCGATTAAGCGCACTCGTGGACAATGCAAGGGGTTTTGTTGTGCTGTGTGCGTGCGTCTGTGTGGAGTGGATTTAAATGCTATAAAAGCAATGCGTGGAAGTCACCCACCAGCAGCAGTAGTGGCGACAGTAGCAGCAAAAATACCAACAAAAACAGCAGCAATGATTGCCATTTGTAAGCCAGTGTGTTCGTGTGTAATCAACTCGTTCATGCATGACCCACCCCCACCCCCACCCACTCAGCCCATTTCCCTTTTGGCTTTCGCATGTTATCCCGCTTGTGCTGGTGCCATAATTAGCGGACTCTGAGAATAATTTGCAAACCATTTTTGTTATCTCTTTGTCCGGATTGGGTGGCACGTTGTTTGCTTTGCATCAACCCTCCCTCCTCTCGGGGAGCGTATAATGAGTTGGAACAGATGTTTGCAATGCAATGCAAATTCATGATTATTATCTACGAAATGTAATTTTGTGGTTTCCATGAAAACTAGATCTCCATCTGTGCAGCTTTCTTGTCTGAAATTCATCCTTCTATTAACTGCAGAAGGGCATGCATATGGGCTGCTGTAAGGTTATCGAATAGCTTCGACCCTCCAAAGCTTCCTTTTCTTTCGCGTTCTGATTTGCCTCTGTTTTTGTGTGCTTTTCGAAAATGCTTGAAATAAATCAACCCAAGCACAAAAGTTGATTTATATGGTGCACGTAAAATTGCCATTAGGCGACAGACAAATGTATCGCAATTAAATGAAATGGAAACGATGGCAATAGCAATAGCAACAGCTGGCTCACACCCCCGCACCATATGGGTGCGGGGGGAGTGGATGGAAGAGGAAGCGAAGCCAACTTAGACTTTAATTAAGATTAATTAGTCACTAGCCAAGCCAAGCCAAGCCCCCATCGGGGTAGTACTAATGTATGCCATAAAGAAGGAGCCAAACCGTGTCGTTGTTCCTTCAACCTATTTAGTTTTTATTAATGATTGCGTATACGATATGTGTGTGCGTCGGAGTTTCCTGCACGAGGATGAGTGTGCTGACAGGAACCCTTATAAGGTTTGGGGCGGAAAGAACTAAATTAAATGTGGATTGCACTAATGTGACTTCCGGAATATACTCCGGCGCGAACTGTGACAATGTTGCGCGTTCTCTTCCCTTTTCCCTTTGTGCCCTTCTATAATTATCTTTTGCTGTCCCTTCATGAGGGTTCCTTCCCGCTGTTGGTTTTGCCATATTCCAGTCAATTCTAGACACATTCTGTGAGTTGATTTGGTTACCACACGCACACACATTCAAACACAATTTAAAAAGCATTTCATAAGTCCCACCCACCTGTGCCAACCATCTTGCAGTGCAGAAAAAGTTGAGAAACCAAAAAAAAGAAGATGGAAAATTGAAAAAAAAATTTCAGAGATTCAGTCAGTGGAAGTTAAGATACGCTTACCGGAAGGGTACTACAAACAAGAATATGAATACATTACAGAATAGGGTTCTGCATTCATCAACTGTTGTAATAAACCTTTGGAGGTACATAAGTTTAATTCGTATTCATATTCATATACCCCACTCGGGCAGCTCACATGTACCGTATACCCTTTTACTCTTGAGGAGAAAGAAACCGCTAAATATGAGCTGGCGCACAAATCCCCAAAGGAAAGGAATCCCCCTCTATACACACATACATTCAAACACACGCGAGCTGCGGGGTAAAAAAAGAAGCAATTGTAAGGCAATTTCAAAGGCGAAATTATTATGTCGCTTTATGTCATTTTTTTCCGCCAAGCCAAGTTTTTCCAAGGCAACCAGCAGATTAATGTGGTTGAAGCTCACCCCAGGCCCAGGACGGGGTGGCTGGGGAAAAAAACCTGCGTATGGAGGTTAAGGGTAGTACGTGAAAATGACAAAGCAGCTGCTCAACAACAAACGGCAACGCATGCTGTGGCATAAAATTTATTTTCACTCCTGTCCTGTTTTGCCCTGTCCCCCCCACATGATATGTGGCTTTAAAGATCAGGGGTCGGGTGAGGACTCCAGAAAAAAAGCGGTACCTGGAAAACCAGCAGAAGGGAAAAAAACCTCATTTACATTGTGGCAGATATGCCAGATTCGACATCTCAGAAGGCAAGGGGGGACAGTATACGAGAAACCGTGAGCCAAACAAATGTGCGGCATTCAAATGTCTTGCTTAGTCGTGTGTGTGTGTGTTAGTGTGTGAGTGGGCGTGGCGAAAAAACATAAATTACTTCATGCACGAGCTGCCAGGCAGCAAAAAAGAGACACCGGAGAACAAAAAACCTGAGCAGGAGCCGGAGCTGGAGCTGGAGCGAGAGCTGAAGCTGGAGCCTGTGCAACAATTGTGAGGAAAATGTAATTTAATTGACACCAGCCATTGGATAATGGCATGACGAGTATCCCAGGCATCCAGTGTCAGTAATAATCCTCGCAAATGAAAGCAAAAATGCTGCTAGATTACCAGTCAAACATCAGTTAAGTACGGGGAGGCATCCAAGGCAACGGATAGTTGATAAAATGAGCGTGAATTGCCTGAAACGCGATGCAGAAAAAATACCTTGCACTTCTCAGAGCAAAACAGAGAGAGGAGAGAGAAGGACAGAGAAATCCATAGCGCAGGATTGGCACCCACGGCCACTCTCGTTGAGCTTCTCGTTTTTCCGCATCATCAGCATTGGCATCATCAGCATTGGCATCATCATCGTCATAAATCACCAGAGTGCAGCATATGCATCACTTTCCACACTTTCATTCAGCAAGCTCTTTGTTTGCTTTGGCAATTTGTAGTCAGCATGTAGCCTGAGAAGAAGAAGTAGCAGAAGGACAAGGACTCCCTTAGACCGTGCGGTCCACTGTCAAATGCAATAAACCAGATCCTTTTGTGTGTTGGCACTACAAGATGCTGGAGCTGGACAAACAGCAATAGCAGCAGCAACAGCAACAAGAGTTACGACAAATACTGTGGGAGGCACACACAATGAGCGGCCCAAGGAGGCCATGAGTAATGTGGCCCGAGCATGCAAAAGTGCCAAACCGGAAGCACAAGGACTGGACTGTCTTGCCTTTGATAAATGCTCAGCAAGGAGGGTCACCTGCCTGCCTGCCATCCAGCTTGGCTGCCTGTCGGGTAAATTGCTAAATTTGTTAAGGCACAAACTGCGCAACACACACACACACGAAATTTTCGGGGCAAGTGCAACAGAAATTCAATTATCCGGCCCGTCTGCAGCCGTCTCATCAGCTATTAATTACAAAGGCAGGCGGGGCGGGAGTGTTAGGGCGCTTCAAAAACTGTGCACTCAATGCACTCAAGGCTCCAACAAATCCCGTATTGATTAATTGCCAGTAAAAGCAAACGTTTCCCAGGGTTCAGGGTCCCAGTGCCTGTTTTCCTTTGGGAAATTCTTCTTTTAATTAGCAACCCAGCAGAGAGTTCAGAAAAGGCTGATCAGGCTGAAGCTTACAACTTTTGCGGGAAACTTTAAGTCAAAACTTTGTGTGCCAAGGTGTATTTTCAGTGTGTATGTGTGTGGTGGCTCAGTTTAAGATCTAATTAAATATTGGCTGGCATTTCAATCAAAATTTCCATATGAAAGGCATGAATAGAGGGGAGGAAGAGGTCGCCCCCACCACTACTTCAGCTCTCTATGTGTCTCTGTGGAATGTCCAATTAAAACTATCAAATTACGTGTACGCCATGTGAGGCGTAGCCATGATGCCTAATTACGAGAGTCAGGCAGTCGGCAGAGTAAGTCGGCGGAACCCTTGAAGAAACCCCATAGCTCGAAGCTCGAATATCCATCTCCTCTCAAATCATCCACTCAGAGGACATGGGATCCAGCGGTCTCGTGTATGTATTTGCGGCGAGGACCAAAAATGTGTTTTTGGCAAAAGAGGAGGAATTCGCGTGTGTGTGTCTGTCTCGCTCCGGAAATTCGAGGCGTGTCATCGTACGCACTCGCCCACAGACAGCGACACACACAAAGCATGCATAATTAATGTGACTGTGCGAGTGTTCTATGTCGCCTAATTGTCAAGTGTGGCCAGACCGCAAAGAGAGTGGGAGAGAGAGAGTGAGCGGCAGAGTGGAAGAGTGGAAGAGGAGCCGCAACATGGCCCCGAGAGCCAATATTTAATTGTTGCCTTTGACATTGCAACAATCCCAAAGTGGCACATCCATTGGGCCCTGAAGCAGTATCCGGTTGCAGCATTAATTACAAATTCCGAGCACGCTTCGCCCTTTCACAATCGATGGATGGGATGCCACAAATTTCGTCTAAAGTGGGGGGGGATTTGAGTCTGTAAACTTTCGATAAACTCTTTATGCTGTTAATTAATGCATGAGCATACAAGTTTTTTGCTCGAAGAAGAGTTTCTTCTCCTCCTGCAGGAGCTGTGCTCTGTGCTCACTGAACTTGAAAGTCACCTTGCTGCGCTCTCTCACAGGTTCTTCCACGCTTTGATGCGTTCTTTGACGTCAATCAAATCCAAAGGATGGCGTGTGGGTAAACCCTATAGATTAGAGGTTCTGTAGCATGGCTTCCCTCATGTGTGTCCCGTGTGTGCGTCTAGGGATGCTTTGTTTGCCTCTGAAATGTCAAACAACAAAAGCTGGAGCCAAAACGAAGACATCTTCTTGCAGCAGCAACAGAAGCAGCAGCAGTGGCAGTTTTACAACTCCACATTGTTGCAAATTACAAGCAAATCCAGAACGGCTCAATGCACAAAATGTACTCGCAATGGGGCATAAAGAGAGACAGATAGACAGCGACAAATAGGTGGGGGTGGACAGAGAGAGAGAGAGAGGGTCAAAGGTGAGGATGGGTTATGGTCTTGCCAGACGTTCAACGTTTCCAGCTCGTTGACTTCAGCTTTAAGTTCATTTTTACTGTGTTGGCAAAAGGACACCATAAAAATTGCTTTTCAGCTTCTGTTCTCTTTTGCTCGCTATCGGCATCTCGATATATCTCTGTGCCTTCTTTTATTTTCTTGTTATGACCACACTGCGACGTCATTGCCATTGGCCTTTTTTTTTTTGCTTTGTTTGGCCATTGCCAGGTATTCCCCCCTTTTTCCTGTTTCGCCTATCCTGCGTTTATTCGCCAAGGTCTACAATTATAGGCGCTTCATACAGCTTATTTACGACGTATGCGAAGTGCACACACACAAAACACGCATACGCCGTGTTACCCACTCATGCATACATTTTTGCATTCTGCCTCCCCTCCGGCCCTTCCCTTTTGCGTTTTGCTGTGAACGTGTATATTTTTTTGTGTACTACATTTTCCCCGCTTTTGTATGCTTAAACGCTCGGTAATTAAAAAAGTGTTGGCGGGCCATGCAACAGGAAGCGGGGGCCAGAGGAAATTTCCAGGATGCCAGGCATTACCAAACATTCTGTGGGCTAATTATGAGGTATAGTTTGAAGTTTAATCTTTAATTGGTTTGGTTAAAAAGTTCAGGTTCAGACCGCAGGGAAAAATTCCTCACACTTTTTCCAATCAATTTTTCTCTTGACTTTTCTGGATTATTTCCACGGTTATATTTAACCTGAACTTACAGACAGACTTGTGTTGACAGAAGGAGGCATTCCGCCAACCCCATTTCGCTTTAAGCCGCTTTTTATTCGAGTGTACCTATTTTTTCATAATATTAGCCGTCGTGTATTTCATGTGACGAGTGGCTGAGTGATGTGTTGGCGGAGCATCTGATGGTTGCCCCAAGTGATGTTGTCGACAGAACGTTAAGCGGGATTAGGACCTTCGCTTTGCGCCGCTTTGTTTCCGAATACCGTCAACACCATCAACAAGGTGACATCAGGGAGAGAAGGAGGGCCAGAGCAGTGGTAAGCAAATAAAAACACACCCAGAATAGCAGAGTGGCAAAAGACAAAAGATGGCAAAACATGGCCATATTTTGCATATGGCTTTAATGGCAGCTTAGCGGCATAAAAATAGCAAAAGTCCTCGAAGGAGATGGGGCCTGGGACAAAGCAGATACTTGCACAAAGTAGCTCTTGCTCGACAGGCTTGTTGTCTGCATGCCACACGCTGCCTCGAGGCGGCCAAAATGCGCGGAAAACTTTGAGCCAAAGCCGAGGCAAAGATGCGATGCCAAAGGGAAGTGGCAGGGAGGGAAGGGGTACTCTTGTAGCAATTGGTACTGTCAGCTGAGCAAAGTTTTTAATTAAAATAACCGAGCAATAAAACAGAGCAACACAGGAATACAGCAGCAGGCGATGGATGTGGCAAGTAGAAGCGAAGGGGAAGATGAAGCCGAGCCGGGGCTAAATGGGAAATTAGCAGCGACAATTTCTCCTGGTCACATGTACAACGCATACGAAGGGTGGGGAGTCCTGCGACGCAATTAAAATTTAACAGCACCCAAACGCCATTCGTTTTGTTATTTTCTATTTATTGTACAATGTGCATGGGCTCTTTCTCTTGCTCTCTGTACGCTCTTTGAATATTTATAGCGAAAAAGGTCAATGCAATGCCCTTGAACCCTTCATCGCCCTCAGAGCCAGAGAAATATTGCGCTGGTTTCACGCCCGAGCTGCTGCTGGCCCTCTCGAACAGACAATGCTCCAGAAAATAAACAGCCTGGACCAGCGAGGTTTGCTCATTAAAAAATCATAAATCAAACTGCAGTTAAAGGCCGCCTTTCATTTTCCCATTCATAATAAAAATGGGGAAGTTTTTAATGAAAAAAACAAACTGTCCAAAAAGTAAAATTTAAAGCTTAGATTAAAGCACAAGTGAAAGGAAATTTTTCACAGAAAAGAAAACTGTGATGATGCGTTGTCGTGTGGCGGCCCCAAGCTCTGCAGCAAGATTGATTGATGACATGACGTCAATTTGCCTGAGCCACTCTAGTGCCCCACTGTCACTCCTTCTCCGCTGCGAGGGCATGCAAAGGGAACAGGCTCTGTGCTCTGAGCCCTGGCAAGGATGTGAACAAACAGACGGACGGACAGACAGAGAGACCACCAAGGGCGTGACCAGACATGAGGCCCGACATTTGCGACGGCGATGACGATGAAAAGACAATGAAAAAGGCATTAAAACTGTGGTCAGTCCGGGGGCACCACAGAAACGAAAAGAATTATCATACAAGACTCCAAAGGATGAGCAGTGCTCCAGATGATCAACCACTCTCTTGGGGTATGGGCGTTGCTGGGGTGCATGTTTCTGTCTTGTTTGTGGGCATGGCAAAGGGCACATAATAATAACATACAAGGGGCAAAAAAAAGAAGAAAGAAGGCAAGAATTTCTATATTAGGAAAAGAAACCAAACAAAAATGTGCAAATTATTTTGTAAAGTTGTTACAAAAATTGATTTATCAGAAGACCCATGGCCAGCATCAATTGTGTGATCTATCGATCCAATCTATAATGTTCACCTAAAATAACCGCCTGTTATCCTTTCGCACCATCAAAAATAATTCCCTAATTCAACTAATGAAATAATTCTAGGCATAATTCTGCCCGCTCTCTCTTTTTTGCTGACCATTTGCGTACCAGCAATAATAATCATAAAAATAAATTTCCTGTTTATTATCTGCGCAGCCTAAAATCGTTATGCATGATTAATAAAGTTTTCTATTGTTATTATGGTAGTTGCTGCTGCTGCTGCTGTTCGTTGCTTCCGGCCCAGAGGTTGCCATGAAAATTATGCATAATTGGTGTCACTGTCATCCCACACAAAAACACACACAACCCCGCAGTCCACAGTCCACCCCGCTTGGCTCTACTGAACTCTCATTGGATCACATCCCCGTGATGTCCCCAGTTGCCGGTGCGACGCCGGCTTCGCCAAACGGTGGCTGCCTCAAATTTAAAACAGAAAAAGCATTTGACAAAACGGACACATTCCTGGGGGGCCATGTGTGCCAGCCAGCCGCTGCGGACTGCCTACTGTTTAACGAGCATTTTGCCGCACAGACACCTACAGAATTATGCAAAAATAAAATTAAAGTTTCATGTGGGACAGACAATGGCACTGCATGGAAAATAAAAAAAAGGGGGGGGAATAAAAATGAAATTTTAAAACACACATACCGAAAAGGCAGACAATTCGATGGCATAGGCGCATCATCAACAAGAACGTTGTCGTCGTCGTCTCCTACATCATGTTACTGCTCCTCGCTGCGGATGTTGCCGATGCTTGCTCTGTGGATGTGGCTAAGACTGTGGCCTGAAACTGGGGGACTCAGGCTATGGCCCGTTCGGCATGCCCGGCACGTCCTCTAATGCTGCGACTGCAAAGATAAAAACCAAGGATATAAACCAAAAGAATCGGCCCGGCAATTACTTCGAGTGATGGCTTTCTAATTTAGGGCTTAATTTGTGTGGATTTAAGGCGAAGCAGCAGCAGAGCCGACAGCAGCTAACAAATATATTTTTAAGCAATGCCATTAAATTTCGGGCCTGTACACAGGTAAACCCAGAGCATTGGCCCAACACTTTACGGCCAAGAAAAGGAGAAGAAGGAAAAAGGAGAAGCAAATGCCCTCTAGTCAACGTTACGTATACGACGCCCCCCAAATGACATGTACATAAATTTAATGCTAGAAATGTTTGTCACCCCCACCCCACCCTGACGACACGGCACACGACCCTGTCTGCGCCTGGATTCGTGGGTGTTGATTTGGGTCCCTTTTTTTTTGGGTTTATTTTTGTTTTTTTGGTTGGGTGTTCCATCTCGAGGCACCGTTACATTTCCGCTCTGGTTGCATGAGTATCCGTTTCCGTTAGTTGATTTCACGCACTCAAGTCCGACAGAATAATAAACTAAATTAGGAGAGCACGACTCCCATTTTGTGTACGTTTTTTAGGCCATTAATTGCCTTGCCTTTAGGCTGTTTAAGTTTTCGGGGTTTAACTTTTCCAAAATCTCTAAGCAGAGACTTGAATTTCTTAAGAAATGCAGATTTAATGTGTCCAAAAGTTAGATATTTGAGGCTTTAGTGTGAACCCAATTAGATTGTTTGCTTATGAATAAATGTTCAACTTAAATCCGTTAATTAATGTTCTCTCATAACTGAAATTAAATCAAGCAAAAGCTGTCGGGCGTTTGTATCCCCTGTCCGAATGTAGGATTTAAGGCTTGTGTATTTGCAACTGCAAAAACATTTTTGAATTGGCAACTGCAAGTCAAATCAAAGCCACACACAGTCGGTGCGATAGCGAGAGCGAACTACAGAACGCACGTCGCACAATGTCGTTCGTTGTTGTCGTGAATGCTGCTGCTGTTGCTGATGCTGTTGGCTGTCCTGTCCGTCTAGGCAATTGCACATGCCAAAAGGAAAAACGAATGGAAAAGCTCTCTGCTGGCGAGCAGATAGTCAGTTCTACACGTTGACCATCCAATGGGGTTCGAGGGCAGGCAAGAGCAAGTGTGGCTGCTGCTGGTGCCATGAGGGGCACAACAATGCACAGATGGAAATGTGCAACGCAGCGACGGGACGCTCCAAATGACAGAACTGTCAAAGGGTCGACTGTTCCCCTTCTCGCTATTTTGTTGGTTGGCATAGTAGCCCACGGGGGACGTGAACGTAGTCGGGAATGTGGAGTTCGGTCCTGGGACCTGGCTAAATGCCATTGCCAGCTGTATTTTTGCACTAAAAGCTTTTGATAATGGGTAGCGTCAATATTGTGACATGCTTTAATAACAACGAAACAGAGAAAAAACACAGAGCAGAGCAGAGAACGGAAATAGGAAATGGGAAATGAGAAAAGCAAAGCCACAGAGCACTAAAATTCATTCTCTGCATTTGACGAATGAAATCGAATACCTTTTACAACGGAAGAGAACCAGAAACAGAAACAGAATAACCACATAAATTCATTTGTTGTGTGCGAGGGGAGGCTAACCCTTTTCCAGGGTCATACATACAGCATTTACATTCTTTCTTTTTTTTTGGCCAGCGCCAGGCGGCGTTGTGCTCCCTTTTGCTTTTTGCCATGCTCTGTCTGCCGACTCTCCCGGCATTTACACAATATAAACTTTACACGTACAATCATCGCACATACGGCGTGTATTCCGAGGGTATTGGTATTTTGGGCACGTAAAACATCAACGCATAAATACAGAAAAAAGCACGCAGCCCAGGACTCGCAGCCGCAGCGGCGGAAGGAGCTCCACGGAGGTGGAAGTTGAGCCTGTCGAATGGCATGGCAAAGAAATGGCGTTTGCCGATCAGGAGACGACACAACACAATGCAGAAGGCAGCTGTAGCGTTCAGTAGCCAAGAACTGTTCGCACAACTGGCAGAACAGAACATCGAAACATGTCGAGGACCTGGAACACGTAGCTTGGGTGACTGATTGGAGTACAAGGACTGCAGGGTGCATCCGATTGGAACTGGTTCGCACAGCAGACAGCACAGGGCAACAACAGCAGCAACAGCAGCAGCGATTGTCGAGCCATTCAACCAAAAACCTGATTCCAAGAGAATTCTGTCGGAAACTATTGAACAAGAGAAGGAATACATAATGTGGGACGATGGTTGGACCATTTTTATATCATTTTATGGTTGATAATATTAATTATCTCATTTATTAATACTTATAATAATTCTTTAAGCAAATGGAATATTATCTGTAATCCAATTTAAAAATATTCCCATCAAACTATAATACTTTTTGCATCCCATATATCTCTCATGTAAATCTCTTAAGACATTCCATTTGGCATCCCTGGCATATGTCAATATTTAGAGCAGGAGATTCCTTTTCCCTTTTACCTTTTTTTGGGGGGAAAATTCAATTTGTTATAATTTGGAAATTTCATTTTTCGTTATGTAAATTCGTTCGATAAGCCGCATACAGACGAATGCCCCAACAACCGAAAGGGAAACAGAAACACAGATGAAGGTGGAACGAAAGCTAGAAGCAAGCAAATAGAAGGTAAGGCAAAACATGTGTGGAGGTGTGAGTGTGTGTGGCAGGAACAAAGGAGTATAGGCGCAACAGAAAAGCAATTTGTGGCAGCTTAAATGTCAATGCGAAAGCAGCCACGCTTCAAGCCACAATCGGCATTAGTTTGTTGGAGACGCCGTTAGTGCTATATCGTCTCTATATGCTAAGCACCCTGGCCGACCTCTGCCTGTGGGCTATAAATAGAGCACGTCTTGGACGATTTCTGGTTTATTTTTAGCCCAAAGGGCGTGCCCGTGCCCACTGGATTGTAGCCTCAGGTTGAGCTATAAAAACAAAAGTTCTGTTCGGGCAGCTAAAAACAAATTGCAAACAATAAACCCAACAGCTAGTCGCTCCACTTCGAAGAGCGACTCCTACACATGTACGAGGGAGTAGGATGACATGTCTTGCAGACGTGGACTGGCGGCCCGAGAGGGAGGACACACACACGCCCCCACAACCATACCCCCAATCAGGTGCCAAAAACTTCCATGCTCCGGCTGGGAAAATTGTCAATGAATTGCCCTTTGGGAGCCAGTCAGCCAGCCCTGCGAGTCCTGTCTGTCAGTCAGACTGTGTGCCATCCTCCTCCGCCTCGCCCCCTGCTACTCCTGCTGTGTTTGCTGTCCATCGATTGTTTTTACCTTCACAGACAGCCAGGATAAATGTAAGGATACTCTTGTGTAGGGGTGTGTGTTTACTTTTGTTAATGGCGTCCGTTGTTATTTGGTCATTGATTCGAGCATCCAATAAGTGAAATGTCCTTGAACAGCAGTGCCTGCACCTCCCGGCTGTCTGTCTTCATCTGTACTTGTACCGCTTGTACCTCCCATTCAGCTCTTGCTAATTTATTAATATTTCAATTTCAATGTCTGTCGGCCCACTGTCAAATGAGAGTCATTCGTTTTTCTGCAACCTATGGCATTTCTCATAAAAGGTTCCCTGCATTAGTATCTGCTCTGATTCGACTGAGTGCAACATGGCGTGTGATTAATATTTACAAATCGCATTAAAGCCTTTCAGCAGGGGCCGGCTCTGCGCCCAGAGCACGCATTAAACCCTAATCCAGTGCTACACATCTTTTCGGAATCCGAGGCGGCTTCTATCTGCCACATAAAAGTATACGATTATTATTATTATTGTTATGTGCACAATTGTTGGAAAAAGAGCAGAGAGCAGCCAGCAGCCAGCAGCGAGCAAGAACAACAACAGGAACATTTACTCGTAAATGGAAGCCCGATGAAATTTTAGCTCAATAACTCAATCAGATTTCGACACAAACACACCCAAACCAACGGTTGGGGGAAACATTTTGATGCATGGCCAGGGAAAAATAAAATACACCAAAAAATAATACATATACTCGCAGCACCCGTCCTCTTGCGGATATAAGGAATGGGCTGTGTGCAGGCAGAGAGCTAAACGAAACGGAAATACCCTTTAGAGAGAAGGAATTGCCACTCTGCCAACTCATCCATCAGCTAACTGATCGAACATTCAAGTGAGTCACTTCGCCTCATCCACTAAGGATTAAAGCAGCGATGCCAATTAAATGAGCATAATTAACTAGAAATCAGGCATTAAAGGTGCCTCTCTTGCGGAATACCTTCACTGCCAAATATCATATAAAACCTGTAATACCCTCAATGTCAGTGTAATAAGTTCGTGTTTCTCTTTGGCTCTTTGTTCATCTAATCCCACACCACGTATATATTACAAAATCGATGAATCAAAGTAAATTACCAGAAATAAATGGGATACAATATGTGTAAGCGTGGTCGCACCGCTACCTGATGTATGTATATGAATGTATGTATTTAGATGGTCAGTGGCTCGGCCTTCCCCACAATTTCCGTTGGTTTTTCTGTTCCTTGTTTTTCCCCTGACTTAGCCAAAGTTAAACGCGGGACAGGATAAGCCACTAGTTGACCTGGAAACAGAAAGCGGTATGGAGAGTTGGGGACTGGGGGCTGAGGACTCTGTGTGCTGGGCTTGGCTTAGCTTGGCTTGGCAATGGCAGCGTTAAGCTAAGCCATTGCAAAATGCTGCTCAGGTAAATGGCAGCCACTAAAAACCGTGCGGTATGACACGTCGCTCACTCGCAAATCCACACACACACACACATATGAATCCCTCTCTCTGGAGCGGTGCAGGAAATTGAAAAAGTTTGTATATGCCAGACATCCGTTTCAGCTGTGTGTCCCGCTGCTGTTGCCGGTGCCGTACCCGTTCGAGTTGAGTGCGCTCACTAATTTAATAAGCCAAAGGCGAAGAGACTTGGCCACTTTTTAGTGCTAGAGAGACACGGCCACACATCACACACGAAGCCACACCAAAT